GGGGGGGAAGATTGCAAACAATCTAGTCCCTCCAGGGGAGACACTCACTGCAGGGGGGGACCTTTGCAGTTGGTGCTTCAGCTCAGGAGCTACGTAGCTGTTGCTAACTGTCATTAGTAGACATCTCAACCCTGCTTGAATTTTTGAATTGAAAATTAATGGACGCGGACCAAGCTTTGACCCGTAGCTGGCCTTGCTCAGCCTCATTGAGAGCCAGATAATGGCACACTATTTAAAGATCCAATAATATACCTCTTAGTAGCTTCAAGAGTTACAATTGCCATGCACTGGAATAAGCAAAATGTGCTATGATAAACCTGTCTTTATCACAGATTGTGGGGTATAGCCTTCGAGGAGAAGTGCTGTTTAACCCCTCAGGAATAAGAAAAGAGTAGGCAGATTTGATGAGGTTCAGGTACCGATTTAGTACTTTGGTAAACGGGACAGGTAATGAAACGCATCCTTCCCAGACAAATGGCCAGGTAGTAGGGGACTACTTCAGCAAAGACTAACCAACTGGAGCTCCAGGTCATCAGAACAAAAAAACCCACACTTAAATCTTATACTGCTGTGTCTGTCTTGATTCATTGCTGCCCAGCTTGGATCTTTAGGTATGCATTATTTAGTCCATTTTAATCTGGTGGCTGGTAGTTGAGGCAATAAAAACCTTTTTGTCAAAGTAAAGGTTCTTTTGTGTTCTTTACTATCGAATGAATCTGTGAGTTTATCAACTGATGGGCTCATATGAGCTGAAATAGGATCTTGTTGGTGCCTTTCCCATCCATGTACCCTCCAGATGTTTTGGGGCTGCTAAACCGCCTGTGCTGCAGGGTCAGAAGACCAGCAATCGTAAGATCGAATCCACGCGACGGAGTGAGCGCCCGTCGCTTGTCCCAGTTTCCGCCAACCTAGCGGTTCAAAAGCATGCAAATGCAAGTAGATAAATAGGGACCACCTTGGTGGGAAGGTAACAGTGTTCCGTGTCTAAGTCGCACTGGCCATGTGACCACGGAAGATTGTCTTCGGACAAAACGCTGGCTCTATGGCTTGGAAACGGGGATGAGCACCGCCCCCTAGAGTCGAACACGACTGGACAAAAATTGTCAAGGGGAACCTTTACCTTTACCTTTTACCCATTACTCTTGACATTTGCCCGTGCTTAGTGGGCTGATGGGTTGTTTGAGTCTAAACACCTAGAGGGTTGCAGTTTAGAAAAGACTGGGATTTTTCTGTTCACAATCGTTTCTACTGCTTTAGATAAATACAACAGAAAATCGGGTTTATTCAGTTATCATATCAGTGCAGTCAGGATGCGCTGATTATGCCAAGCGAAGTACTGAAGTTGCTGTTACATTTTTTCAGCTGCTAATGCACAGTGCTATAAAAAGCAACCTCAAATGTTGAGGTGAATCTTTAATGAGAAATGGTTCTAATGGGCTTTTACTGTTTCAAAATGTCTGGTGTTATATAGCCTAGCTGAAATTTTTAGAAGACAAAGCAGTTTTCTCTTTGAAACTGATGCACTGAGTAATTCTTAATTCATTTGGGGGCCTTGGGATATTCATCTTTTTCCATGTGCCTGTATTCTGTTGGGGTGTGTGTGTTTTAAAATAGGTTTTGACCAGATGAGGCATTCCTAGAGAGTAAGATAAATTGACAGTGTTTGCACTACAATGTATGGAAAAATCAGCAGAGTAATTGTGTGTGAACCAGGGGTGTAAATGCTGACTTCCTGTATCCTCACGCTTAAGGTCAAGTAATCACATTTCCAGAGGAATCAAAGAAACCTGGTGATGCAGGGGAATGACTCAGTATTTTGGAAAAATGGATAGTTAAGCTTAGCGGAGCCAGATAAATGAGAAATGATGTCTTCCAACTTTTGACAGTGAACCAGACACACGCTTCCCCCCTCATAAACATGTCCTTTTTGGAAGACAAAAATATAGAATGGATAATTTTCCACAGGCCTACTGCCAACAGCTGTGTAGGCTTTAGTCTTTCTCTTCACCTTCCCTCCAACCAACTTCTCTGTGTGCTATTCTCACAGTGACAAAACACTAATTACAATAGAATTTACTGTCAGGGATTGCTTCTTTGTTGTTTGTACCAAACTTAAATTATGCTGGTGAGGCTGTTCCAGGATCCTACAGGCCAGTTAGGTAGGCACTCTGACTGTGCTATTATATGTAAACTCTAAGCCTATTATGACCTGTAATAAAAGAATCTATTTTTCATTCATTTCTGTACTGCCCCATTAGTGCAGATGTACTATTCTGGGCGGTGAACAAGGTAAAGCCAAACAAGCAAATGGACAATAAACCAAATAATGGTAAAAATAAAATAAAATAGGAAGGACATCTCAAATACAGACACAGGTGGCAGAGTGCTTCAAAAAAGAATAGAATAGTGTAGTAGGATATTGGCAAAGGGAATCATAGGAGGCTGCCATCAAACTCATCTCTGTTTGGAGCAGCCTTTTAAAGATAGGCAGGGAGAGGGGGCCAGAGGTAGCGCTACTCAGCAGAGTCCATTCCAGAGGATGAGCACCGCCACAACATCTCAAATACAGACACAGGTGGCAGAGTGCTTCAAAAAAGAATAGAATAGTGTAGTAGGATATTGGCAAAGGGAATCATAGGAGGCTGCCATCAAACTCATCTCTGTTTGGAGCAGCCTTTTAAAGATAGGCAGGGAGAGGGGGCCAGAGGTAGCGCTACTCAGCAGAGTCCATTCCAGAGGATGAGCATCGCCACAAAGAAGGCCCAGCTTCTAGCTGATGTTTTCTTGGCCTCCTTTGGTGTGATCACCCGGAGGAGCATTGACTGAACAGATCCAGTGGTGCTGGTGGATGAACTCCAGCAAGTGACGAGGTCCCAAACAGTGAAGGGCTTTTTATGTGAGTATCAGGACCTTAAAATACCAGACACATGCTCATTTAGTTAGACAAGAATGGGCAAAGTCCCGCCCTTTGGATGTTATTGCACTACAACTCCCACCAGCCTTAATCAGCACGGACCATTATGAGGAATGCTGGGAGTTGCAGTCCTGTAGCATCTGGAGGGTGGCACTTTGCCCATTTTGTACTGAGGTGAGAATTTTGTGTGGTGGCCAGAAGAGTTAATTGTTAGTATGTGGGTAATTTCCAGTTCTGCCTGCCTTTGTGACTAATAATGGCTTTGCATGATGTTGCTTTGCTGTATCGGACAATTCTGACATGTCAGGATAGCTGTAGTGTCTATGCCATAGAAGTGAGAGCAATATTGGTTGCATACTTCTCTGTTTCAGGCACCATTCTGTGTGATGTGATGCCACAGCTTATGCCGCTGAAGCAATGCCACAAGCTGTGGCATTGCATTAGCACAGCAGTCCCGCGGTGCACTTACTTTACAGTAAATGACTCATACAGCTTGAGATCATTATAATGCATTCGACAGAACCTTTAAAATAACAATATCCAAACTAGTGATTTATGACAAAGTTATAAAAATTGTAGAAGCCTCCACAGCGAATGGCCCTCTATTTCTAAGTGAGAAGTCTAGGATTGGAATTTGAGCCTCGTGGCGCAGTGGTTCAACTGCTGTTCTGCAGCTAAAACTGTGCTCACCACCCAAGGTTCAATCCCAGGTAGCCGGCTCAAGGATGACTCAGCTTTCTCTCCTTCCGAGGTTAGTAAAATGAGTAGCCAGCTCGCTGGGGGGGGGGGCAATGTGTAGCCTGCATAATCAACTTGTAAACTGCCCAGAGAGTGCTTGAAGCACTATGGGGCGGTATATAAGCAGCACACTTTGCTTTTTGCTTTGTGGGATTTTCAAAGGCAGATCTGGCCTCAATATGAGCTCATAGAGCCTGGAAAGAGATGGTGTAACACACCAACTTTACATATTCCTGTGTCTGATACAAAGAATGGCCAGTATATAAGTATCAAATATTACCTTTATGGCATGTTGTGTACAGTGGTGCCCCGCTTGACGATTACCTCATTAGACGAGGAAATCGCTTAACGATGAAGTTTTTGCAATTGCAAAATGATGTTTTAAATGGGAAAAATCACTTCACGATGATCAGTTCCCTGCTTTGGGAACCGATCTTTTGCTTTACGACGATCAGAAAACAGCTGATCGTCGGGTTTCAAAATGGCCACCCGCTGTTTAAAATGGCTCCCTGCTGTGCTTAGGACGGATTCCTCGCATTACAGGCACCAAAAATGGCCGCACTATGGAGGATCTTCGCTGGACGCTGAGGTATTTCGCCCATTGGAACGCATTGAGCGGTTTTTAGTGCGTTTCAATGGGCTTTTTCTTTTCGCTTGACGAGGATTTCGCTTAACAGCGATTTGTACGGAACGGATTATCCTTGTCAAGCGAGGCACCACTGTACTGTACTGCGGGGGTAAATATGTCCTGTTGTCACCATTGCCACCACTTGAAGTGAAGGGGCTTTAGAACAGAGCAGCTGCTGGGAGGAGAGACTGCATCAAAACTCTGGCACACATGTATATGTTGCTACCTTCTGTGGGTGGGAATAGGCAGCCATTCAAATATCATTGAATTGCAACTCCAATCTGCCCCAACACAGCCAATGATAAGAGATTATGGAGAGCTGAGGTCAAGGTCTGTATGGAGGGACACTCATTCCCTGCCACTGTGTTGTGGGACAGAGAGTTTCATAATCACGATTGCGTATAAGCAGCACGCTTTGCTTTTTGCTCTGGCACACATGTATATGCTGCTGCCTTCTGTGGGTGGGAATAGGCAGCCATTCAAATATCATTGAATTGCAACTCCAATCTGCCCCAACACAGCCAATGATAAGAGATTATGGACAGCTGAGGTCAAGGTCTGTACGGAGGGACACTCATTCCCTGCCACTGTGTTGTGGGACAGAGAGTTTCATAATCACGATTGCGCACCTTACAGTTTTATGTGGTCTTTACCTTAAGTTGTTTCATTTGAAATTACAACTGAGAGCTGAGATGAGGGATCAAAAGTAAATAACAAGTTCTTCCATCTCTTGTGATGGGTCCTAATTATATTGGAGTTCAATATTTATGAATTAAGACCTGCAGTTTTTCACAGACATGAGATTTCCCCAACCCCATCCCTGTTCAGGAAGCAGAAACTATGCCATTGCAGCTTTTTCCAGCACTGTACTTCCATGTTCAGAAAACAGTGCCTATTGAATTCCACATTCAAGGATAAGATACTTGAAAGAAATGCAGCAGCTAACACCTCTTATCGTTAAGGTTGGAAGCCTTAGACTGAGGCTGATCCTAGCCTTCCTGGAGTCTCAGACTGACTCTCTTTTTCCTTTGTTCGTCATGTCCCCAGTGGGAAGGTAACAGCGTTCCGTGTCTAAGTCGCACTGGCCATGTGACCACGGAAGATTGTCTTCGGACAAAACACTGGCTCTATGGCTTGGAAATGGGGATGAGCACCGCCCCCTAGAGTCGAACACGACTGGACAAAAATTGTCAAGGGGAACCTTTAACCTTTACCTTTTTTACTGTACTTCCATGTTCAGAAAATAGTGCCTATTGAATTCCACATACGTATTACATAGCTGTTAAAAGCATAAGATACTTGAAAGAAATGCAGCAGTTAACACCTCTTATCTAAGGTTGGAAGTCTTAGACTGAGGCTGATCCTAGCCTTCCTGGAGTCTCAGACTGACTCTCTTTTTCCTTTGTTCGTCATGTCCCCATGACACTATTGTTCACTGATTTTTGACCTTTTTATGGGTTTCCCCATTAAGAGCTTGAAGGTTTAATTTGCTGGTACCTTTTGAATTACCTACCACTGGAATGAGCTGCCTGGGAATTTTTGTGCAATGTAATTTGGCCTTTGGGCTGACACCCTGGTCTTAAAGTTGTGGAAGTTGAAATGTCTTAACAGGCAACTTGTAAATGTGGGTGCTCACTGGCATCTTGCAAGGTTGATTTGTAAGTTGGTCAGTCAATACAGAATGCAACCCAAGCTTGACAGATGCCTAAATAACTCATACATCTTGATGACATTATAATGCATTCAACAACCAGCAATTTGTGACAAGAATTTGTGATTAAAAATGTGTACTGTGGGAAGTGTCAAGTAAAATGAGCGTGTGTACATAGCAGGCTTATTCTCACTTGTGTGCTTATGTAACCATATGCCTATCTCATTGTGTGTGTGTGTGTGTGTGTGTGCACTTTGCTTTTGACTGGACATAACAATTAATTTTAACAGCATTTATGTATTTCTGGATGTTTTGCTAGAGTCTGTGAACTTGAAGAACTTGGAGAGCTGTCTCCTTGCTGGGAAAGTCTTCGTCGACAAATAGTTACTCAGTACCAAACCATTATTCTGACTTACCAGGAAAACCTCACAAATCTTCATCAGTACAAAGGTAATTAGTGGTTGTTTTTTGTAATACATGTTTCAGCCATGAATATACAGCTATCCCTAATCGTCTGCTATATTATCGTTTGTTTTTTGCTGCATACAAAAGGTAACACTAAAAAAAAACTATGTGGACACTGTCAACACTTTGTAATACATGTTTCAGCCATGAATATATGACTATCCCTAATCATCTGCTATATTATCGTTTGGTTTTTGCTGTGGACAAAAGGTAACACACACACACACACACACAAAACCATGTGGACACTGTCAACACACACACCAAAAAGTGCAACAACATTCAATGAACTTCTGTGCCCCCATTCTTTTTCCCATATGTGTTCTTAGGCCACCAATTGGACATTGGAAGGAAGAAATGTACCTCTCATACACCACCCAGTCTTTCTTCTCTGTTTAAGCTAGTACAGGGAAATCTAAATGGAGATATGTGAGGCCTCCCCCCTCCCCCCAAATTATTTATTTATAGTATGTGTGTCTGGTATTTTGATGAAAACATCAAGGTCAGTCAATAAAAGTGGTAAAATGCAATGCCACTCCACCAAAAAACAAACCAAAAACAACAGAACTCCAAAGATAAAAATACAACGTAACAGCAACAGTGAAAATCATTCAATGCTCCTTTAAAGATCAAAAAGAGCACAAAAGAACCACTGGGACTCTGTGTGGTACCTATAAGGTATCGAGGTGGCATGTGCATATATAAATGGAGGCGTAAGAGAACACCGGGTCCTGAGTCCTGTTGGATTTTTCTGCAAGACTGTAATGAACAGTACATTGATTATGAGCATCCCTCTGTCTTTTGATGAATTGCATTTGGAGTTCATGAACTGTGAGGCCTCAGATCAAATGTGATTCCTTGAGGAGAATCACCTGGTCCCTATAAGGAAAAGAAATATGTGGAGCAAGCAGCATGTGTGGAAATACAGTGGGATGCCTTGGGAGTATTGGCTTTTTCTCCTGATTGAATAAACAAAGCACTCGCCTAGAAAATCTTGTAGTTGATATGGACTGCATGCAACTTGTTGCTACCTTTTCCATTCCTTGTGTTTGTATTTTGGTGCCCTGAACATGCAGAAATTGCTTTCTTCATCTATTTTCTCAGGTCCATCATTCAAAGCAAGTAGCTTGAAAGCTGACAAAAAGCTGGAATTCGTGCCCACGAATTTACACATACAACGAATGAGAGTCCAGGATGATGCAGGATCAGGTACTTTTTCTTATTTGTTTATCCTCTATATCAGCTCTAAACTCAGCTTGGTAAGAGGGCTCCTGAAGAGCTTTGAGGAATAAGAAGTTCTGTGCTTGATAGGAAAACCTGTAACATCCTGTCTTTGTCATACTGGTATTACTTAGCATCGTTCTGAAGTAGAATTCTCCACAGAGTGTCTCTTATCCATAGACTTTTAAGGACTGCCTGTTGTTGTTGTTGTTGTTTAGTTCATGCTTGTCATTTAGAGATAGTGATTGAACCAGATGGCATCTAGATACTGTATTTTTATTTCATACTCAAAAGTGTAATTACTGGAGTAAACTGCATTTATTTGGCCTGTGCTTTTACTCCACAACATAATCAAAAATTCCATCCATGTAGTGCTCAGTGGGCTCCCCATTCACTTTAGGAGAAGAAGTTGCTTCATCCCAGCCAATCCCTGCCCCTGCAGAATTTCCCTTTTAATTGAAGGGCTCGTATATTAAATGCTCTCTTAATCACAGGACCTATCTATGGTTGCTGATTTATTTCTAAAGTTTTTATGATTCAGATGTGAAGAATTTGAGACTCTCTGGGTTTTCACAGCCCATCACGGAGACTGCTCATATGACTGGGCATCTGCACAATGAACCATTCCTGCACTTTATGGCCCTTCATTTCCACTTACGAATTGAAATGAAGGAATAGGCACACAAGTGGAAGGAGAGGAATGATGTTAGAGTTATGATGGCAGATCCTGGTATACATTGTGCTAGCCCTTCATGAATAAGAAACCATGGATTTCAGGGCTGAAGGACCTTATAACTCAGAACTGGGGAATGTGTAGCCCTCTAGATGTGGTTGGCCTACAATTTCCATAAGTTGCAGTCAAATTAGCTACAGGACAGGAATTTCAGTTCAGCCTCATCTGAAGGACCCAGGTTCTCCATCTCTGTTCAGGAGGTTAAATAGTGCAGAACTATATAAAATATTTAGTAAAGTCTTTATGAGATTAACAGAGTATGTGGCAGGCACTTAAGGTATGCCATTTCTGTCACTTGATCGTTCATGGACACGTCTTCTCCTTGAACCCTTTCCCCTGTCACTTTTTGTCCCTTCAGATCAGAATTATGATATTGTAACTATAGGAGCACCAGCAGCTCATTGCCAAGGCTTTAAATCTGGCGGTCTGAGGAAAAAGCTGCATAAATTTGAAGAGGCAAAGAAACAGTAAGTAGCCTATTGAGCGATGCCCCTTTCTGTGGCCTCATTTTGTGAGACATCTCTCATCCCTTATTTTTTGTTGCCTGCATACCCCAAAACTTGAGGTGAGCTTTATGTGAAGAAAAGAATTTTGGCTACGACTTGTGAGGGGTGGAGACCAATAATTTTATTTTGGCAGTTCTCAAATGTTTACATGCTTAATGTGCTGTGTGATGTTTAAGTATTAGCCTTTTGTTTACAGAGGTGTGAAGGCTAGAGCTGTACGTAAAGCTTATAGTGTCCATACTAGACATAGCCGTGTTTTCTCCTTTCATTTGAACTGGGCTTTCGCCCACTGCTGATGCCTAGTGCTTGCAGCATTTAGTTCTTGGAAACATGCCATTTGGGCGTGGTAGTAAGATGAACCTGTGCAGTTTAATATGGCTAAAAATGGCAAAGCAAAGGAAGTGCTTTACACGAGGAAGCAAAAGTAGCAGATGGAGAATCTCCTTTTATTTGGCTAGCAGAGAACAGCAGTGCCCTAAATATTCAATACATGTATGATGAGCTCGAAGATATAAACAAGAGTCTTGTGCTGGAATCTACAAGTATTTTTCTAGCCTCACGTCTAGCCAAAACAGACATGTGGGATGATCTGACTAAAACAGATGCACTGTATTTAATATTACTGCTTTTTGGGTTTTAAGCTCAGCACATTCAGGGCATATATCCTGATATTTCATTGGCAGTTGGTGTTAAAATGCTGAACTGGGCTTTTGTAATCTGGAGGTGGATGTACTGTACAGTATTATAATATACTTCAATGCAGTTTTCCTTCTGAAGTCAGATGGGAAGATGGTTAAATTATTCCCCCCTCCACTGGATCGCTCAGTAATGTCACACATTTGGCACAAATGATTCATGACAATTTATTATCACAATGAGACCCCCCTGTCCTTTTCCCTTTAACTTCAATTTTAGACTTCCGTGGAAAGGAAAATTGAGCAATGTCTTTTAAGATCAAAAGACAGTTGCTGAGAATAAATGCTAATTGCTCTCCCTTTATAAATATATATGCTCCCACTATATCTCCCTATTACAAGGGCAGAAAACCATTCTTTTCCTATGCCCCCTTCCACAGAAGTATGCAGGAATAGCCTTAATTTAAGGGTTTCATTGCCAAGTAGTTTGTTTAGTGGATAGGAGTGTAGAAGTGACTTAGATTTGTTTGTTTGTTTTTCCCTGTGTTTTTTGCTGAAACATTCAAAATATATTCTCATGGTTTGACCTTCTGGTTAAGGGTACTTGATTCCCAGGTGAAATTTTTTACAGACTGACATACTGATTTCTGGGCATGTTATAATGCAAAGGGTTTCACCTATATAAGAGAAAAGAAAGGGCGGGGTTCAGACACACTTAGAGTTTTCCAAATGATTCAGAAATGAATCATTCTACCACTAGTTTGTAGTCCTGGTAGTCAGAATCATGTTGAGTACAGTGGAGATGGGGTTGCTTTTTGTGTAGTTTGTCTCCTTTCCAGAGAAAGCCATCAAATGGCTTTTGTTGGTTACATCAAAAGACCAACAAGATGCCACATGGATGTGGAGGGCATACATGTAGAGATTCATTTTCAAGAGCCGCCTTCCTTGACAGAAGCTTAATTTAAACATGCCTCTGTTATCAACCTATGGATGATTTCCCATACTTCCCCATCAATGCTTGTGGTGGACCCACATTGTGATTATGATAACTTGAATTCCTAGCCATTGGTGGCATTTTAGCCGTGTGACATATTCGAGATTGCTACTCATGCTGTTGTGGTGGACCCACATTGTGATTATGATACCTTGAATTCCTAGCCATTGGTGGCATTTTAGCTGTGTGACATATTCGAGATTGGCACTCATGCTGTCACCAGAGTGTACATACCACTTAAGTTAGTCTCCAGCATAATTCGTGTAGCAGGGATCTTAACAAATACGTGCAAGCAATGAAAATGATGTGTTCCCATTAGATATATATCCAAGATACTTGATGTTTTTAATCAGTTAAAAAAAAACACAAATTTCAAGCTACTCTTAATTCATCTTAGGCTTCTAAATACCTTAATATAGATATTATTTCATGAATTTATTGGTTTTTAAACAACTGTGGGATCAATTATGTCTTCTTACTGCTTGATGTACAAAAATGATGCCTGCATGTGGGAAATGATCAATGGGCGAGGTTAGTTTTTTTTTAAAAAAATTCCCTCTGTTGGTCTAAGTGCTCTGCTGTACATTAAAATCAGGTATAGCATTCCTGAGCAGCAGAAGACAGCTCAATAAACAAAATATGTTTAGGCTGTTGTTTCCAATTCTTCCATCATTTTAGGTTCATGTCTGAAGCATTTGTCATCCTCCTTTTATGTCCTATTTTTATATTTGTTTAAATATTTGCCTTAATAGGATAATATTTGTTACCCTATTGGTGCTTTTGTAAGGTTTGAATAACTTGCCACAGATAAATGCAGCTAATTGACTAAGTGCCTGCACATCTTTGGAGCACAGTCAGGTATGTGAAGATACACATAACTGACATGTGTCGCAGCATGTCATCAATTAGCAGCAGCAAGTTATGCAATGTTTATGCAAACTTCAATAGGATTCTGGCTGTTATCATGCACAGTCCTAAATATAAAACTGCTGAATTTTGTAATGTATCAGTTTTTATAATAGCTAGGGAATAAAATCCAGATCTGCCAAATGAAGAACCCAAATGTAAGTGTACTGTCGCAGAGTGTTTGTTTAGAAGAGAATCATCCATCTGTTCTTTCCAGGTTTTTTTTAAAGCCATGTAGAACATCAGTTGCAACTACTGTATTACTATTTTTTAAATTGGTGTAATACTGCTCATATACCAGGAACAGACGTCTCTTTCCAGCTTGTCTTTGTGACAACTGGACGTTATAAGCCCTCTTAACATTTCTACTTTATCCCACTACTTAGTGTAATAAATCACAACTGGAGTAGGCTTGCTGAATTGGTGTGGATTTATTGAGTCAACCCTTCAGTAAGTTCAATGGGCCTACTCTAGTTGTGACTTACGATGATGAGAAACAAGATTTCAGCCATTGTTCATGATCTGCCCAAGGCTTCCAATAGGTTTCCTCAGCTGAGATGAGGTTTGAGCTTAAGTGTCCCAATCTCAGCTGATCAAGTAAAGATGTCACCTGTTCCTGCATTTGTATTGTATCCACGGCCATGCGGCCTTTTCCTGATTTTTCCTGAACTGTAGAAGATACCATAGAACGGTCAATCAGGGCATCAACTGAATACCAACATGAGTTCTCAGACAATATGGACTGTTAAAACCAGACAAGAAGTATTGCATGCTAAGGAAAATATCCACAAGGAAAAACTATTAATTTGACTTTAATTTGGCTAAAATTGGCTGTGCCTGGTGGTTTTACTAAATTCCTAATCCCAACTCTGCTAGAGGCATTTTATGCTCCTGGGCTATATTCCCCCCCCCCAGCCAAATGAGAATTCTTCGCATTTTATGCTCCTGGGCTATATTCCCCCGCCCCCCAGCCAAATGAGAATTCTTGAATTTCAGAAAGGCAGAAAAGAGGAAAGAGATGGGCTCAGATTGCTGGACTGTCCTTTGCTTTCAGAGATGGGCCATAAACTCCAAAGTGGCTTGAAACCATCCCCATTCCCCCCACCCCATAAGCCACTTGTGAATTGCAACCATCTCCAACTAAGAAGCTAGCTTGGCCTCACCTTGAGCCATATAACTTTCGGACTTTAATAACATAATTTAATTTTGAAGCTACCAACAAGAAGAGGGTGCACAGCCTTGAAGAAGATGATTTACAGTATCATTGAAAGCTTGCTGTTCGTTTTTTGTTTTTGCTTTTTTGTTTTATATTCTTAATGATTGAATAAAGATATCACTTGTTCCTGCATTTGTAATGCCAGCTGAGTTTCCTTTCCTGATACACCCCCTTCAGACATTAGAGCTTTCAAAACAGTGGTGTGGTTCTACTGCTCCCTTTAGCTTGCCAGTGTTTCTGCGTAATTAGTTGCTACTTTTCAGTCTGCCCACTGCCTTAATCCTTGTCTCTTTTCTGGAGGAAAAAGTGACCTAAATTAATGAAGCAGCAGCAGCAAGAGTCTGGGGGCAGCTGCTGAAAAGGCCATTTGTCTACAAACCATGCTTCTTACCTCCTTGAGGAATGGCTCTTTCAGGAGGGCCCTCTGGCTAGATCTTAATTGCTGGGTAGGTTTATATGGAAAGAGGCGGCCCTTCAGGTATCCAGGGCCCAAGCCATTTAGGGCTTTATACGTCAAAACAAGCCCTTTGAGTTGGGCCCGGGCATCAACTGGTAGCCAATGTAATTTGAACAGAATCAGCCTGATGTGTTCCGTAGCAGCCCCACCACTCACCAGCTGCGCAGCTCAATTCTGAACCAGTTGCAGTGGCTGGACCATCTTCAAAGGCAGCCCCATGTACAGTGCGTGGAGTAATCTATATGGCAGACCTGGGCAAAGTGCGGCCCGAGGGCCACATATGGCCCATAAGCCGCTCCTGTCCGGCCCGCCGGTCCTCACTTCGGTCCGGTGTTCAAGCACTTGTTCAAACCCAAGACAGACTGGATTTCTCTCACTGGACAAGTTGAACATCAAAACCATTTATAGCTTTTTGTCTAAAGTTGACCAGTTGCTTACCTTTAACATACCACAAAAAACCTCTTTAGTATTTGTGAAGATTAACAAGTTTAAAATAAAAACAATCATAACATCACTGTTTCATTTTATTTTTAAGTAAAGTTGGTTCGGACCCCAAACACAGTTCAGGTTTTTCATGTGGCCATACTAGACATAGCCTTAATTGCTCAACCCTGCTATACGGGATGCTGTCAGTGCATGCGTAACTGTCATGAGACGCTGCTCGTCCAGGTAGGGCTGTAGCTGGTATAATTTCCACAACTGAGGGAAGGTGCCCCTGGCCATCGAATCCACCTGGGCTTCCAGAGTTAGACTGGGGTCCAGGAGCACCCCCAAGCTGTGGGTAGATCTTGTAGATCCTGGCTCTAAATTTTTATTTGTCTTGTCTTCTCACAACAGTCCTTTAAATGCTTGCAGTGGCTGGATAGAACATGGGCACAGTAGACTTGTAAAAATGTCCTAATAGGCTGTGTCAGCATTTCATAACTGAGAGGATGAGTAAGGAAGCAATATAATCCATTGCCTTTCCTTCTTCATTCCTTTCTCTTCTCATCTCCAACACTCCTCATCCGCTGGAAACTCCCTGGTCACTGCAAAGGGGTGGGCTTGCCTCATCTGCAGAGGAGTTACTAGGTAAAATTTCTTTAGGTCAGGATTCAACAAATAATGGAAATGTACTCAAGAACTTGACTGTATACACCTCATGGGTTTTGTGGTTTTAAAATTCCCTCCTCCCCTCCCCTTTGAACAGCAGCCACTTATATTGTATCCAAATAGTTTCTTCAGGGCTCATCCAAAAAATGGCATTTGTTCCATAGCTTCTGAAATAAAGCAAAAAAAGGAAAAGGTGGTGTGGTCTCCAAGATTACACAAGTGTATGAATGGGTGATGCATTTTATTGGACCACTGAGGGGTTATGCCAAGCCTGAAGAAGAGAATTTTCTCCTTGAAAGCTTACAGTTTGTTTTGTAGTGTTCCAATAAAATATATCAGCCACTCTTACATTTCTGAAATAATCTGGTACTAAGAGGAACAAACAGCCATCTGGAAGAGCCCTCACTGACAAAAGCAGTTTGCTGTGTGGTGTGGAAAATGAATACAGGATACCCATCCCTGCTGTACATACGGGAAGAATTGTGTATTTGTTTGGATCCCCGCCATAGATTTTTGTCCTTCCAAACTGAAGTATTATTTGTGCATTTTGCTTGCTGTCAGACTTCCTTCTGTAATGTATAACTTGCCCCTTGTGTTGATATAGTTTTAAAAAAAATCTATGGGCCGCAAGTCATCTGCCATTCTACATTTACTATAATTTTGTTTTGCTTACGAGTTTAATAATATGTACAAACTTTATTGGAAACTATTAAAACAAATAACATTTATCTAATATTGCTTTGCTTTGTTTTCTTTATTTGATATTTGCTAACAAATAATGGCTAATTTTCCTTTGGTTTTTGTTTTTTTTAGCAGTTATGAGGAATGTTGGTGAGTTTTCTGTTTCTGAGTTTGGGAATAGAGTTTTGATCTTGTTTGAAGCAAAATATGGCGTGTTAATGTTATAAAGCTTATTAATTTTCTTTTCTTGCTTGATGCTTCATGTCTTGGCTTCTGCTAATGTTGCTTATTTAATGAATATTTATTGAAATAGACTGTATGAATGAAACTGTCCTTTCCACCTGGGTTGTTTGCTTTGTCAATGAACAGCTAACATTTATAAATCAGCTTTTTAGAACATTAAGGGACAATTTAATTGGAATGCACCAGCTGGCTAATGTAGCTCCCTTTTGTTAGAAGCCAGAAATACTCCAGATACTGATGAGGCCTATGTTCTTGCTAGGCATTAATGACACATTATAATGTCCATAGTTTTAATAAATATTTTAATGATCTGGTGGCAAATGATGGGGTCATGGCGGTAGTAGGGAGAATCCCTTGATTCGTAGCTAGTGTGGTTGAAATCATACTATTAATCTGGAAAGCCCCAGCCTTATTTCTCAAAATATGTGGGATTTCTTGCATCATTGGTCTAGGTAGAAGCATTCCAACTATAGGTAGAAGTATTCCACTTCCACTATATTGTCACACTACAAATCAGATCCTAGAATCAGCTCTGAGCTTTGGGCTGTAGTTCATACTAAGTCCTGATAGCCCAGTGGCTCTGTTACTTTTCTTGTGGGTACCTCAGACATGATAGTTGCAGATACTTGGGTACACACCTATAGCTCCCATGTCAGTAAAGGCTATCTCACCTGAGTTATTTGGAGAAATTACATCCATTCATAAAGAGGAATTTGTGCAGAGGTCTTTTCCCATCAGAATGTGCAAACCTGTACGTAGATCTGGTCTAGAATTAGACTCTGATTTGATAGCTAAGCTTGCACTTCTGCTAAAGATTAAACTGTATTCCTGTGGGGTAACACGGGCAGGTGTATAGGACTTTTTTTTAAAGACTGAAAATCTAAAGAAACTAAAGCGTTGTTTTCCAAGCCATTTGGACAAAGGAATAATGTTACCTGATTTGGTCATCTGGGCATTACAAAAGCTACAAATTCAAATGAATAATCAATGTTAGTCTATTTAATCAAAGCATACACTACGAACATTATCCACAAAGTTAGCTTTATAAAACCTTGCAGATTTTTCTCTGAAATTACTAAAGCTTGATTACGTTCCAAAAAGTAACTCATTATGTAAATTATTACAGAGTCCAAAACCCCAATACATTGCTATTAATACTGAAAGATGAAAAATTATAATACCTCACTGGCTGAAATCCTGTTGCTTTGTGTAACAAATTAAGGCATAATTTTCACGTTTTCGTAGCTAGCAAGTAAAGAATGGCCACCGCTATTCCTGGGTCTGTGTGCACCTGCTCACTTGGATTGGTGTGTACTTGAGAATCCATTGAAGACTCTTTAGTTGTCCACCAAAGAAGAGTAAAATCTACGCCTTTTGTTTCTCAAGGCAACAGGATTTTAGCCACTACATTACTCATTACAGCATGTTGATTTTTGCTTTCCTGTCCCTTTGAGGGGGGTAGGGGGAATGAGATGAAGAAGAAGGTGATGTAAATTTTGAAAAATTCCATTCAAAATTCTTCAAAAACACACTTTAAATTGACTTTTAAAGTAGCTGGCAACGTTCCTCTTAACAAAAGCAAATGGCAGGTTGTACCCATTAGGAACCTTATGTTTAAAATACAGGCATTACGTTTACTGCCAGGTTGCCAGCAACAGATGATAGCTGTTCATTTTGGAGATAAGTTGCGGGAAGCAGATGTGTATTAAATTCATGCCAGAGCTTGGAAATAACACGTTAGAATGGAAGTATTATTACATTTGTTACTTTTGGGGGCCAGTGCCAGAAAAGAGGCTTTTAAAATTTTAATGTTTATAATGCCAATCTGGGTACTTCCTATACAGAGGGCACATATCATTGCACATTCTCATTTTCAAAAATGAAAGGGACCTATACTTCTCTTCCACAGTTAAATTCATACCAGTAGTCTGACCTTGGTCCTCTAAATAGATTTGGACTGTAGTAGCCAAAAGCCTTTGTTACAATTGACAAAAGCATGTGGCATTTTCAGGGGTCCTGGGAGTTAATACTCTAAGGTCACCAACACTGAAAAATGTTGTTCTGTTAAAGTACATACTGACCATTTCCAGTTGCATTTTGCCAGCACAACACTATGAGAAAGGGAGATCAAAAGTAAAGATCAAAACCGATTTGGCCTTGGAGATCCTGCTACCCAATCCAAGCTGGCTTCTGAAGTCATTGTAGTCAATTTCTGTTGCACCCAAATCTGCTCAAAAGCACTGTTCAGTTTTCCATAGCTAATTTAAAAAAAATCTTTTTTGGGGGGGGCTATAAAAACCAGCAGGCTTTCTGCAACATGATGCTGGGATGATTTGCAGGGTGTCTCACCTAAAGACTTTTCTAAACTGGAGAAGGGAGAGGCAACTGGCCACGCCACAGGTGGCTGCAGTATTGCCTGTTGGAATAAAATGAACACACAATGAAATAATTACTGATGTTAAAATAAAAAAGAAGCCTATTAGTGTAAGCAGGGATTTTTCTTCCTCCCCATAGTAAAGGAGCTGTGCAGGCCAGCTACTGGACTGGCAACCACAGACAAGCAAGCTACCATATTATGGAATTATTATTTTTTCTGGCCAGTTCAGCAGTACTGCAACCCAATATAAATTTAGTTCTAGATGGAAGAAATAGTCCTTTCTTTTTTGTTATGTGGAATGACATACCCCTTCTGCAGAGGGCAAGACCAACTGACACTTCAATTACCATGTTAACAGTTTAACAGGTTAAATGTTTTTGCTTTTCAGTGTAAATTCCAACAAATTAATTGTCCAATTTCTAACACGTCTACTGATTAAGTTTTAAACCTGTTTTTCCAAGCTCTGTTCATGCTATCAAATGATTTAGTCCCTCTCATCGGATCAATAGATTTGCTTACTTGCTTTTTTTGATATGAGTGCCACAAGAACATGTGGTTGCATGTATTTTGTTGCCAATTATATTATAATTCTGCATGTAATCTCCTGTATAATTTAAGTAAAATGTTGTAAATAAATCCAGATAATTGTTGAGGCAATTGATAAGTGCCTACTCCTTGTAGGAAACAAGAAAATTCAAAACAGATACTGTCCTTAAAATAGATGATGCAGAGAATAGGAAATGATCCAAATAATATAAGAATCATTACAGTGAACTCTTCCGTGCCAACTGAATTTCTAGGTACTTATAACACTTGTGTATCATACTTGAGCATCACTGATTTTTAGAAAATATTTTATCTCAATCAGTTGTTTCTAAAATCTTTGTAAACAACTTCCCAAATTTTGTGTTTAGATCCCAGATTGGCAGACATTTCAGAGCCTTTTGCTTTGATCGAGAGATGTTTGCCCCCCCACACACACACACGCACTGCCAACAGTATCACTCTTGAACAGCACTTAACTATTCTGTCCTTGTAGTTGCTTCTGAAAACCTAACATGTTTTCACTTTATCACTCATGGGCCAGTGCCCAGTGATGCTAGTGCAAGGTCTGTTGCACTGACAGAAATGAATATCTTTTGTTTTAGTGCAAGGGAAGGATTGATCCAGCACACTTTTTCACTGAATGATGGGGTTGCCCCATGTGGTCCCACATCATGTGCACTGTTTCTTGTGCTCATTCTTGCTCAGCCCTAAAACCCAATGCAAGCATACTAGTCGAAGGGTTTTGTGCTTTTATGTTCTGCTAGCACCATAGTGGGTATGGGCTGTGATGTGAAAAACATTTTTAACGGATATTATTTTTAAAGGCATATTATTTTCAAATTCATGTGTCCACCTAATATGACACTTATTTGAACTGAAGTGCAATGATTGGTTCAATAGAGTACTCTTTCTTCTTAGTCTTCGCACAGGGATACACTCACTTGATGGTGCTGGCCATTGCACAGAACAAGTTTCTAATTGGTTCTGTAATGAAAACAATTTGAAGATCCTGTCTTCCAATCGTTTTAATGACAGAACCGGTCAAAACTTGTTCAGTGCAAAAGACCAGTTTGTCCCCTTGGGCTACCTATACTGCCCTTTCTCCCCCCTCTAACATGAAATGACACTGCCCTTTAAACCAAGCTTATGTGTTCCTGAGATCCAGCAAGCCAAAAGCACTCCAGCAAACTGGCTCTCCCATTCAGTGTTGCCACCTGTTTGGAACTAACGGGTTGCACTTGGTTGGTTCTGTGTTTGCACAGATTGTTGCAGATTGTGCAAGCTTGGCTTGGACTAAACCAGGGTCCTCAGACTTTTAAGATTTATTTTTATTGCAGCCAAATTAAGCTTCAGTATTCTGAAACAAAGAAAAAAGTAGTGACTTTTTTTCTGAATGATGCACCACTAAACCAGCTAGAGCAAAGATGGGTGACATCTTTTTCCTACTGAGGACCACATTCTCTTGAAGGTGTTCTGCTGGGGGCCACATGTAGGCAGCGGGCAGGGATAAAGCAAAGAAATAAAGTAGCTCCCCTCTCTCTCCTCCCATCTCTTTCTCTGTCTCTCCCTCCTTCTCTCCCTTCCCCCCCACCTAGTGATCACTTAACAGAGGGCTTTTGGCAATAGGTCAGTGACCACATGAGATTAGACTGTGGGGTGGTTTTGAAACAAATGAGCAGGATATACGTTTGAGTGAAAAAAAATATTATGCTTAGGACTCTGGACCGGGCTAAGTGAGATTTGCAGACTCTTCCTTGCAGTTCTGCTCTCACATCCTGATTGCTGTCCACTGTTCTTGGGCATTCGTCTCTCTTGCGTGTGATTTCTGAGCACGTGGCATGCACAAGTTGTATATCTACCTTCAGAGACTTTCATTCATTGCGGAACAGCACCTTGGTGGTAATCTTACTTGTGTCCTGTTGGCCTTGTCTGATCTGGTAGTTAATCTGAAGCAACTATTGCCTGCAGTGTCTTTCTTTCTTTCTTTCTTTTTTTAAAGCATGAATTGAAAAAAGGGCGGCTACAATGCCCACCTTTCAGATAAAAGTTTGAAACCAATCCCTTTTTGCTATCCCCAGTGCTTCTACTGCCTCCCAGTCGATAGTGTACATACCACAAGATATTGTTCGAGCAAAGGAGATTATTGCACAGATCAATACCCTGAAAACTCAAGTGAGTTACTATGCAGAAAGACTCTCCAGAGCAGCTAAGGACAGATCGGCCAATGGGCTTGAAAGAACACTTGCCATTCTGGCAGATAAGGTATGGAATAGGATCAGCTGTCCCTTTGGCCTATTTTCGTTCCTCCCAAATTAACTGAGAATATGTCCTTGAATATCCAGCCATTCTTACTATAAGAGACCTCCTTGCCCTGGAGGCTTCCGTAAGCCTAGTGAGTGTTCTGAGGAAGTTCTGATGACCTTTTTCTGATGATTATTTGAGTTACCTTCACTGGCCAGTATTCTCAACACATGTGATGTCAATGTATACATTCATCTGATTTTTTAAAAAAGCCATGTTGTTATACAATGCAACTTGCTTTAAATCCTACCACTAGTGTGGGCCAGAAAAAAATTACAAAATGGAAGTGACTGCAGTTCCATTGAGATTTTTTTCACCTCTGTCTGCTCTGTGACCAAAATGTGGTATCTGTGGCTCATATGAAATCCAGTCTTGGAGATCTTGGTGATAATATGGGCAAATAAAAGACTGTTCTTTGAAGTGTCTGTTAAAATATGCTGATTAAAATGTTCAGTAGGAAGGTCTATAGCATCAGTCTTGTGTCTGGATATCCTGTGAGCCTGAGTAATGCTCATGGTGTCAACACAAACATTATCAGGGCAATAAGCCCCATGGCACAGTGGTTAAACTGCAGTACTGGGGTCAAGCCTCTGCTCACGAGCAGAGTTCAATCCTGATGGGTCCAGATAGCCAGCTCAAGGTTGACTCAGCCTTCCATCCTTCTGAAGTCAGTAAAATGAGTACCCAGCTTGCTGGTGGGCAAGTTGCTGTTTGCATAATTATGCTGTTAACTGCCCAGAGAATACTCTAGCATTGTGGGGTAGTATGTAAGTCAAAACAACAAGGCAAGTTGCTGTTTGCATAATTATGCTGTAAACTGCACAGAGAATACTCTAGCATTATGGGATAGTATGTAAGTCAAAACAACAAACAACAGTGCTCCCTATCTTCCATCTAGTTAGCCAAGTGGGTTTTACATGATATTGCTTTAAAATAAATGCAAGCCTAGATAAAGTTCATGATGAAAAAACTGATAGAGAAAAGCCTAGATAAAGTTCATGATGAAAAAACAGACACACTGTTGAAAAATAAAGCAAACTTATGAATATTATGTGCAGTTCTCACTTTTCCCCCCTAGACGCGGCAGCTTGTCACCGTCTGTGATTGCAAGTTGCTGGCAAATTCAATACATGCACTGAATGCCGCAAGACCAGATTATATCGCCTCAAAGGCCTCTCCGACCTCCACAGAGGAAGAACAAGTGGTGCTAAGGAATGACCAAGACACACTGGTGGCCAGGTGGACAGGAAGAAATAGCCGATCTTCTCTGCAAGTGGACTGGCACGAAGAAGAATGGGTAGGGTTTTTCTTTGAACTTCAGGGTTTGATTCCTATGTTGCTGCAGTTCCAGCTTCAAAAGCCTTGTGGAGAATACAACTTCAGTGTGAATACAGCTTGTTGGGTGAAAGACTGTAAAAGATTTTTTTGAAGCTGCTTGTCCAAAAAAGTGATTGAAAAATAACAATGTAGCAGTACTTCTCTTCATTTTACATGGGTGTTTTCTCTCTCTCTCTCTGCTCTATTACCAAAATTTCATTTCTGCAAACCATGCATGAAATTCTAGGGTTTTCTCCAAATATTTGTAAAAATATGATTCTCTGTTTGAAATTGCTTGCAAAAATTGAGTAGTAAGATTAATGCTCGTATGATATCCAAACCTTTTCTATAGATTTTTCAAAATCTCTGTGGCTGTAGCAGCTTTGATAAAGACCATTCAGCTGAGCTACAGTTAGCTTCATAATGTTGATTAATTTGCATTTAATAAAAGATGTATTTGCTAATAAAAATACTCCTAAGGAGGCTATTCTCTGATTAGCTTTTCCAGCAAAATGCAACTGACCTGCGACAGCTTAGTTTTTGTTGGTATGAAATAGTTCCTTTCCCCCCATGATTTTCTCTAAATACTTATAAAATGTGTTTCCCTCTCTCCATTTGAAGTTGCATGTAAAAATGGATCCATAAACTCAATGTGATTTTTCATACCTCCACAGAGTTATGTTCTTTATTGGGTAGCACAACTTCACTAACAGCATGCAGTGGGTGAACGAAACTGCAGTTCTGTCCTCTTGGGAAATGATATTGGGTTCTCTCTTCCCCCTCCCCCCATGTTGCTAAGTTCCAATGGCAGGAATAGACTTTGAAGGACTCTTTATCCAGTACATATCTCAACTTCCTTTTAGGGCACGCTGATAAAATTTGCTACCATGGGTCAGTGCTAGCTTCCATAGAACGCATGTTAATTTAAAAGATGGCTGCTTCTCCTATGCCTTAATTGAAAAAAAAGTCATAAAAACATTGATTGATATGTTTGTTTTTCCTTTTCAGGAAAAGGTCTGGATAAATGTGGACAAAAGTCTTGAATGCATTATCCAGAGAGTAGACAAACTCCTCCTGAAAGAACGATTACAGAGTGATAGCTGTGAAGATGTTTTCCAATGTGACACCACCAGTTCTAGCAAGAAAGGTAAACGGGGTGCCCGTGCATACTGGATAAAGCCAAATGGCACCTTAAATGCCACCTCAGCATCTTCATCACCCCCACCATCGTCATCATTGTCATCATCATCTCCATCTCCATCCATTCCATCCTGTGCATGCCATTCTCCCCAAATCACAAGTGCGTATGATTGCCATGGTTTCTTCCTGTTGCTTTATTGCTCTGCTTTGCAATATTTCTTAGCTTTGTCTTCATCTTGTGCCATTCAAGTTCTTTTTTCCTTAATATGATGGGAGCCTTTCACAGATTATAGCGCTATTGTGGGAGCTGTTTTTCTGTGGCTCTTCTTCAGCTGCTGCTATAACAAATCAAGGCCCGAGCATCAGCCCTTCCTGTGGATGTTACAGGTGTGGGCTCAGCTGGCAGCCTGTTACCAAATCAGAGTAATGGATCAAACAGGCAGGTGCTTTGCCTTAGAAGATAGCAGAGGGCTCAGACAACATTGTTCTGGACATATTGGAACAGTGGAAGGTACATCAGTTCAATTCAGCCTAATGTGACAAAGCAGTGACAATGTGAGATGGATCAGAATGCTCCTAAATGCTGTCTGAAGATTGTTTTTATTAGCATTTCCTTGATTTCTCAATGTTGTTGATTAGACAGTAAAAGACACAGTAAAATTGCTCATGTCTGATCCCCTTTCTCTTCTAAGCATTTGTGGCTTATGATGCAAGCAGGATATGTTTGTGTGCATGCACATGCACGTATGTGTGTATGTGTGCACTTGTGTACACACTTCATCCCATCATTTCAGAGTGATGGGCCTCCCTCTGTTTGGATCTTGGGCCAGCTGTGACTTTTGGGGCACAGTGATCATCTCTCCAGATGTAGATTGTAGAAAGTTTTCAATCCTTGCACCATAACTGATCTGTTTCTACAAGCATTTGAGAAGTGGGAGCAGATTCTCATATTTATCATTCATTGAATCAGTTTAATTTTATATAGCAATTTCCCTAAGGGTTCCAAGCACTTTGTTTTTGAAAACCTAAAACGTGGGGTGGTGTTTTGTTCCCTGTGTTACAGGTGGATGGGTTAAAAGGCTCAGCTGAGTGGGGCCTGGTTTTAAGCTACCCAAAAAAGTATCTAGCTGAGTAGATATGTTCATCAGGAACCTCCTGGATCTTTACCACTGTACTGCATTGTCATTCAGGGGATCGGGTGTGCTATATTTCTGCACTTCTGGTTTCCGCTGTGGATAAATGTAGGGCCTGTGAACTTCTTCCATCTGAGTGGGCTGCTTCTGTTTCACCCGGTTGACGTCAGGGTATTCTTTGTAGGGCCATGTACCTCTATTTGGGAGTGAAGGCAGTGGATCTTAGGATACTTCTCACACACAGTGAGGAACGTGTGAAGCCACAGCTAGCCATATCTTTAGGTGACAGTGTTCGGTCTTCAAGTAAATGTGGCCCACCTGATGTTCTTGACATGGAATTCCCATCAACCCTAGCCAGCTTGGCCACTGATGAGGAATTATGGGAGTTCCCATCCAAAATATCTGAAGGAACACAGTTGCCCTTCCATTCTTTAGGCCTTGTGTATCCTTTTGTGTTTTGGCTTTCCTTTATTTATTTATTTATTTTTTTTGTAAAAAGAAAGGTTAAATGAGATTATGATGCTAGGCCGGCTTGTGTATTCCATGTCCAATGCTGTCTCTCGAGTCAGCCACAATTTTTGGAGTAATATACCATTCAGATTTTAGGTGCAGATCTAACGAGCCTGAAAGCCAAATCAAAAGTTGTTTTTGACAATTAACCTGTATGTTAACGCGAACAATTTACATCGGGGATGGGCCACTGTTATCCCTCCGGATGGTGTTCAGCCACAGCTCCTGGCGTTCTGCATCATTGGCTATAGTGTCTGGAGATGATAGTGGAGATGTAGCTCAACAATGTCTGGAGGGATACAAGCTGCCAGTCATTGGTTTACCTGCTTATGTTAGAAGAAGAAACTTGTATTTCTGCTTTGTGGGGTGGTGTGACTTGAAACAGGGAATTCCATCTCATAGAAGATAATCTTTGGAGTTGCCTAAATTCCTTCCCCCAAAGTAAGCAGTTAAATGCACAAATAACCTGCCAAAGAGTGAGGCATGATGGAGCACTTAAGTACAAGTTCAATTACATATTAATCAAGTAGCAACCTCGATGAATATTTCAAAAAGAAACCAACCGAGCAACCCAGAATATTTTTTTTGTATTTCTGTAGAGAAAATGCTCTATTGAAAAGGGAGAACATTTTGGTAACAGAAGACAAAGAGAGGGATGTTCACACATGATGCTAGTTGCGTGTGTCATCTACATATATATGCATCCTCTAAACATAGTCTGATTATTTTTTAGATGTGTGTACACTAATATTTAAAGATGCATGTGCATTTTTATATGATGTGCATGTGTAATATGTTTGTTACAGAAACACAAGTAGAACACTAGGATGTGTCTAGGAAAACTGTAAATGATGGAGCCATCCTGCCAAATCATGTTACAGAAACACAAGTAGAACACTAGGAAAACTGTAAATGGTGGAGCCATCCTGCCAAATCATAGTAGCTCATGATCTACAGAGAGATGTGTCAAAACTGAATTATTCCTTAGCATAAAAGTGAGACATTGCTGCATTCCATGTGCTTACATGACATTTCAAAATAATTATTAAAACACTGTGATCCAGAAACTGATTGAAAGTGTCTTTCTCACTCTGTCTCTTCATTACACTTCCTATTTTGTGTGTTTCACAGTCATTTCACAGCTGAAAGCTGATATTTTTGTAGTGCAATGGTTTAAAAGTAAAATTTTATCTCATAATGTTAAATAACTGAAATTTTATATTTTAATGTGTGACGTCTAGAACTTAGTACATGTTTGTGATGTGTTGAGCCTTCAGACTTCTACCTATTTAGTCATTTATTCCACATATACAAGCTGAGTGTGTGTTGATCACTATGAAATGACTTAGTTAATGCAAAAACTAATGATGCTTCTACTGTCTGCAGATACACAACTGAATTTTAAAAACTGTATTTCATGGGAGGAGTATGTAAGAATGTGGGCAAAATCTTCTGGGCCAAGGGATGACTAAAAACAAAAAGTAGTGCCATTTTCTATGTCATTTGGGGGGTCAAAGAATAAATTTAACCTAATCCATCCACTGTCTGTTTTATATCATTGTACTGTTGAGAAAAGCATAGCATTTTTTTTTAAATGTGGGAAACAGTCTCTGTGAATCTATGTAATATTTCCTGATACTTATTGGCTGAGAACCATTGAAATTATGAATCAACATGTTTCCATGTCTACTGTTGCATTCAGTTCAAGATGTGTCGTGTCACTTTTATGTTAACATGTATGGGAATGAAATGTGCTTTGTGATTAAACAGATTCATATGCAGTCAGAATAGTGTTAAAATTGGAAATAGTTCCATGTAGAGCATTGCTGCAAATAGAATGTAATTTAACTACATTATTTATAAAATACCTGGTGCTGCACTTGGTGCTATACTAGTTAAAAATGAAACAGCCCTCTGCCAGTGGCATATCAGCTAAAGCACAGACGGGCAAATTGTGGCCTTGGAGCCTCATGATGCTTTTGAACTGCAACTCCCAGAAACCCCAGTCAGGACAGCTGGTGGTGAAGGCTTCTGGGAGTTGCAGTCCAAAACTCCTGAGTAGCCCAAGGTTAAGAACCAGTGAGCTAAAGCACAAATGGGCAAATTGTGGCCCTGGAGCCTCATATAGTCCCCAACCCTCCTCTAGGAAGCCGCCTAGAGTAGTCATCCGACCAGATAGGCGGGATAAAAATGCAATCAATCAATCAATCAGTCAATGCAAATTAAAGTTGCTGCTGTAAAACAATAACTCCACATCTTGTCCTTCCTCCTTGCTGGTAATGTCTTCCCAACCTCTGCTTGGATGTCCTGCAGTACCAGGTTTATCAGCCTTGCCACCATGAGCCACCTTCCTCCTTGCTGGTAATGTCTTCCCAATCTCTGCTTGGATGTCCTGCAGTACCAGCTTTATCAGCCTTGCCACCACGAGCCAATGACATTGAAGTGGATGCAAGGACAATTGTAGTGCAGTGGCCTTGGATCATAACAGTTGTGTCACTGAAGGGAAGGAGGAGCAGAAAATGGAGGCTTACTGTTTTTTGAGTGCAGCCATATCTCTGCTGCCATATATAGTTCCAGCCAGACCCTCATTCCTCCTCTACAAAAACAGACCTGAGAATTTTGTGGCCAAAGGCAAATGTCAACTGGAAGGCAAAATGCATTAGACAAAATTGCTGTGCACTTATGTAGGCATCTGTTAGCTTTGTGTAAGTTTAATTTCCTTGATATAAAGGGAACATTATCATCAACCCAGTATTTCTGACCTAAGCTCCATGTTGTAACTGTGGAGGAACCGTGTGCTATACAGTTGTAAGTTCTGTAGGAGTAGGGACCTTCTGTCTTTAAAACGCTCCAACCATCTCCCATATAGACTGTTCTGATTGAGTTTTGGTCATGTTTAGGGAGGGACAGAGCAGATTTGAAGAGCCTCCTCTTAACAGTCAGCAAATCTAATATGAATGAAATAATTATTAGATCTTATTATTTGAGAAAGGAAAAGCCTACGTTGTGGTAATCTAGGCTTCATATGAATCAGTCCCAAGTTTATATTATAAATAGTTTTGGAAAATGCCATGAAAGTTTTGGAAAAAAAAAATTGAGCCAAGGAGAGAAAATAAGATAAGTGTTACAAGAGTCAAAGTCCCACTTTGTTTTGGACCAGGATAGGAAACAGTCCAGAAGCAAATTGTGCACATCAGTCAGAGCTTGGAAAATTTACCCTTATTTGGGGATCAATTTCCAGAATCTAAAAAAGGGGTTATAAATTTTTAAGTAACTTTTTCAATCTGTGGCACAAATGCATGCCAGTTTTTCTGTCAGTTCCCCTTTTTTCAGGTGTTCTCACTTATCCAATAAATAGCTACTTAGTCTGGTATGAAAAAGACTGACATTGTATACCCCAAAAGCAGTTTCTCTTTTTGACAGTTTCTGTTCCTGAGCTCTGAGTGCTTTTTTTTTTTTTTTTTAAATAGGGAACTTTAAAACATACCCTGCTGCTTTGATGGGAAGAGGTACTAAGACAGAAACAAAGACGTTGATATGGATTCATAATACACAGTTCTGTTTACAGAGGTAGCCCAAAGATATTTTGGTGCCTGAAGGAAAGAACTAGTGGCTCATTCTTCTTCCATGTACAAATAAGGCCGGCTTCCCGTGATTAGTGATAAGTCAGTGAAACATGATGATCTGGTTGTAATATCATCTCTATAAATATGGAGAATAGGATTCTGCCATGCTTTATAGGTTTGAAAACATCACTTGAAGATTTCTAAAATACTGTAATGAACCTCATACAGATCTGAACTTGTCAGAATAAATGTTTCTGAGGGTGTTGCTTTCAGTCTATGCTTCCTGATGAGCTTTTCTGTAAAATGCCTATGTTTGAAAACATGTTGTATTCACATTTTTCAAAGGTACATGTTAAGTATCATAGGTGTACATGAAAAAAAAGTCATGTGTACATTAGGGTTACTTGGTGCACCCTAAAACTGCTGGTGTTTTGCAATTTTACTGAGCTGCTTTTAATGCAAGCCATTAAACTGGTGGTTCTCAAACTGCGTGGTCTGTGGCTTGCAAACTGGTGTGGCTAGTGGATCATAGGGAGCTGCTATGATGTCCCAGCATGCTGCTCCCTTCTCCTCCTAGGTATCAAAGACAAAAAAAGAAAAAGACCATAAGATGGGCTACTTTACCAAGCAAAACACAAGTAAATATAGACTATTTTATGCTAGAATAACTCAGAGGAGAGACAGTCCTTGCCACAGTCTATGTTGGGCCGCTTTGCCAACCAAGCCAGAGAAATGTTTGAGAATGCTTGTTTGCTGAGCATTTCAGTTGCTTATGTTTAAAATGTGTTGCTTCCCCTTAATCATGCATGTTACACCTCCATTTTTGTGCAGATTGCAGTCCCACTCCTGAAGAGTCCAGCCCAGGTACGTGTGGGAGAGTTGCCCTCCCTCCATTCACAGTGTCTACTTCTGGAAAGCGGCAAAAGAAGAAGGCGGATGGATGTGTTGTCATTATTCTATTCTTTGTTTGCTTGTTTGTTTTGCGTTGAGCACAAAGAATTTTTGGTCTTGCTAAGGTGTGTGCTATTACATTGAGGAAGGTCCTTTTGCCAGCTTAGAGGTAGGAAACAAGAAGGGGATTACTGAGGGAAATTTATTTCCAAGCCTTTCTTGACATATGAATTTTGACAAATAAAAGTGACACGAGAGGGAGCTTTGAGGGAGCCATTTATAAATGTTCCGAATGAAGAAGCAGTCATGCATAGCTACTGCTTGTGGTCATTATGCCTAGTGGTGTGCCTCTGTGTGTGGTGTTAGGTTGCTGATAACACTGAATGTAGCTTTTGAGGTAACTGCTCCTCCATTGGGTCACAGAGGCCATGAGAGAAGTTTTATATGGCTACTATATGGCTACCATCCATCTAAATCTAATTTTAAGAAGCAGATGTTCTGTAGACCAAGAACGAAAAACTGCTTGCTGTGTTAATATATTGGCAGTACTTTTTTAAAAAAAATTCTGAGATACTTTCTTGAGTACTAGGAAAGTAATTGTTGTCCCTCCCCCTATGACTCTGAAAGGTACACAAGGTTGAGAACAAGGTGACATTGCGTGATAACAGCTAGAATCCTATTACATATTTTCCCTGAAATAACTCCATTTGTGTAAATTTCAGCAGCAAATTTCCATGAAATTGTGTAGGCGTTTGCTGTTGCACATTGAGTCATGCAACTTGTATCTGATCGCACCCTCCTACACTGACATCTGAAGTTGCAGTAATTCATCGTTTAAATTTACATTGTTGGGGTTATCCAGCAGGCATGGGTATCAGGATTTTGTCCTATGGGTTTCGTGACTGAGAGAGGACTTCAACCTATACCAGACACAATATTAATTCCTTGCTCCACACTGATTTCACAGGAATATTCTTGTTTTAGCTGTCTTGAAACATAGATCAACCTGTAAATTTTCAGAAGGTCTGAAACCAACTGTGCATGTTTATTAATCAGTCACACTAAATTCAGGTATTGCTCCTATCTTAGTGGAATCAATGAATCAGTGACTTGTAAGTGTTGGTGTAACGGCTATTCATTCTGTAGGTATTCTCTAGTTGGAACTAAACAAAAAATTTAAGTTTAGTACAGTGTCCAGTGGAGAGGGTTGTTTCTCAGAACTTCCAATTGTCTCAGCTACATATCCAGATACTTACTACCATTTTCCTGGGGGGTGGGTTTTTTTTCCCATTTATTTATTTCCAAGTTATATTTATCATTTTCTGTACACTGGAAATAACAGTGCCTGAAGAACTGTTCTCTGGCATATTCGTTTGTTTTTAAAAAGGAAATTTGACCTATGAGAGGCTCCTCAGAGCAAACATATCAAAGAATAATCTTAATTTTTAACTGCACAATTGTTTTGGAAAAAACGCATAATAAGGACAGCATTTCTGTTGTTAAAAGAATCCAAATGTTTGCTGAGCCAAATAACTTTCTAGCATCTGTTTAGTATGATTATTTCCATGTTCAGACACAGATTTGAAACACCGCATCACTGTTTTTATCCTTTCTATTTTGAAAAAATAAAACAAATCCACAATTTTCCATGGCTTGGATGCCTGTCAAAAAACTAAAGAATATTTTTCCATTGAAAAAACAATCACACACAAACAAACAGATTAAGCTGTACTTCCAAGAAAAATCTGGTTGGATTGTATTCTCTTAATACTGTAATTACAGATTTCCTGCATGTTGCTTTGTATAGAGACACAATGGTTTGGTTTCTAGGTGGAAAAGACAAAGGTGGACATTCTTCTCTTTAATATTTGACTTTTATGTATTACAAAGCTTCCAAAGCAAAAAGTACATCCTGTAATGCAGAATACTAAGTTAGTTATCTGACTGTAGAACTAGAAGTTGGGAGTTTGATTCCCTCCTGTGTCTCCAGGGAGAAGAGCCAGCCTGTGTGGCCTTGGGCAAGCTCCACAGTCCCAAGGCACCCCCAGAAGAAGAGAATGGTAAACCACCTCTGAGTGGTCCTTACCCAGAAATCCCTGGAAAGAGTTGCTATAAGTCAGAATTGACTTGATGGCATAGGATTATTGTTAATGCAAATCGAGTAATTGTTTTATTGGACACAGTTTCTATAGGGATAAAGAGTAGGGGATTTCTTCGGTCAGAAGCCTTTCTAGCAATGCTGCCTAGCAGCAAGGGAATAATAAATTTAAAATCCCTAAGTGCTTAACATATGCTTACCATCTTTCCATGTTAGTTGACTCAGATAAAATTGAGTAATTAGACAGAAGCTCAGAAGGTGGTTTAGGTATGGTAATGGATAAGCTGTCTGGATAGCTCAGTGAATCTGGTATCTGGCTGCAGAGCCACAAGCTGGGAGTTCAATTCCCCGCTGTTTCTCTTGGGAGAAGAGCCAGCTTGTGTGGCTTTGGGCAAGCTGCATAGCCCCAGGATGCCCCCCGTCAAAGGGAATGGCAAAGCACTTCTGAATACTCTTTACCCAGAGAATCCTGGAGAGGGTTGCCATAAGTCAGAATTGACTTGATGAGACACAATGATTATTAATGGATATGCTGCACAGTCCCACAATGCAACCATAAGGAGGGGCTGATAAACAATTTCTGGGTGCTTCATAACTAGGAAACTCTGGTAAGTTTGGCCATAGGTCAGCCTTAACTTGGCATTGCACATACATGTGCATGCGTGCGTGTGAGTGTGCGCACACTCACATGCACACACCCACCCAACAGAATAATAACTACAAAAGATAATATGTTCTTAAGCTATATTGTAGATCTGACTTTTCTATTTTTATTTAAACAGCAATAATTGGCCCTGTTTATCCACACTAGACTGCGTGTGTTTCTGTGGTATCTTTCTAATGACCCATTGTATATGCCTACTTTACATAAATGAGTTGTTAATCTCTATTATTTGTGGAAGGGAAAAATATGGCTTTTTCTAGAGAAGATTTGTGGACTCTTGTGAAACCCAGTATTTGCTTCTGAGATGCTTGTGTTGTATTGATTTCTAAGGGAAGTTCAGTAGATCATTATTTAAAGAGGCCATCTGAGGGTGGTAAACATTTGAAATAAGATATCCAAATTATAGTGCTGATAGTGTTTGATTTTGCCAAGTCCGGATGCCACACCCTTCAAGAGTGTTGAATAATGAATTTATGATTCCTCTTTCTTGTCTTAGTGCAAGTGTACTTACCCTTCCTTGGCAACATTAACCATGGAGTCTCCAAAGCTACTTAAGACATTTATTTTGAATTGTGGTTTGAAATCTAATTTTAGTCTATCATCCACGTAGATACACTTGCTTTTATTTTGAATTGTGGTTTGAAATCTAATATCATCCACGTAGATACACTTGCTGATAGGCGGGATATAGATTGAATAAATAAATAAATAAATACAGTAAATACGTTTAACACTGACTAGGGAGACGGTAGAAACTCACAGTTGGTACGCCCAGTCTCTTTAAGATAGCTGAGAAACCTGCAACTTTGACATCTGTAGTGACCCTTGATTTGCATTCAAAAGTAAAAGTATTTATTTTCATTGTTCTCTCTTTCTTTTTCAAAACTTTAGGTGAATGGAGTGAGGCTCTTTACCCACTGTTGACAACACTCACAGATTGTGTGGCCATGATGAGTGACAAGGCAAAGAAAGCGATGGTCTTTCTCTTGATGCAAGATAGCGCCCCTACAATAGCCCTCTGCTTGAGCCTTCAGTACCGGAGGGATGTTGTCTTTTGCCAAACTGTAAGAAATGAAGTGGAGTTGATATTGTTAGACTCCAGAGGGAGAAAGATTATACTCTGCTGAGTGCGATTCAGTAGCTTTTCCAGTTGGAAGATTTCTTGCGCCTAGATAGCATGCTCACAGTTGTCTGATAGTATCTTGTCTGGATTACTGTAGTATATTATAGGTGAGGCTGCATTTAAACTCTTTGGAAACCTGTACTTGGCACAGGATAGTACAGGTAGATTGCTGACTAGCACTGGATGCATGGAACATATCTCACTAATCTTTGAACAATTGTGCTGGCCTTTGGTCCATTTATAAGCATAATACAAAGTGCTGTGGTGACTTTTAAACCACTTTATGATGTGGGATCCTTCTGCATTGAGGACTGCTTGCTTCCACATTAATCTGCCGTGTTGTTTAGATCTTCCTCAGATGCCGTACTTTGAATCCTGTTGTTACAAGGGGTATGGCAGGTAGTAATCTGTTAGAGCCCCTTGTCAGTAACAACGCCCCATCTTTAGAACAGCCTGCCTTGGGTGGATCGCCCAACACTGATCCAACCTTCTGGCAACCTCTGCTCAGGGTCCTCAAACTATGTTTTCATAACAGAACTTGAGCTTAATGTTTATTTTATTTTCACCATTGTCTGCACACTTTACCTGTGTTATTCACCGTATTTAGTTTTATATTGGGAGAGAGGATAGCTACTGTTGTTATTCTTCAGAGTGAAGGAGTGGGAGATGAATATGTGAAACGAAGTCTTGATTTACTCACTGCCCTAGACTTCAAATGAAGTAAATTAGGCCTTCATCTTCTGCATCTACTACAGCTATGTTAGACTTACTGGTGGGGATGAAACAAAGCAGGATGAATATAAAGGAAACGTGCAACGTCCCCAACAGTGTGAGAAATTATGCTTCTATTTGTATCTACCTGTGGAACAACAACTATTAGTAACTCTAGGAGCCACCCTATTGAGTGTTCGTTCTGTCATGAGGATGCTGAGCAGCCTTGGCAAGACCCTTAAATCACCTCATGTCTGTATTCTCTTCTGCAGCTTACAGCACTTATCTGTGGCTTCATCATCAAGCTGAGGAACTGCCTGCATGATAATGGATTTCTGAGGCAACTCTACACCATTGGCCTGCTGGCACAGTTTGAAAGCCTTTTGAGCACCTATGGTAAAAACCACTGCATGGGGCAAGCATGCAATATATTTTATGATGTAATGAATTCCCCTCAATGCAGCACACTAGTAATGTGCTATGTAGAAGATTAGATCTGTCTTACTATTTTTTCAACAAAAGGGAGTTTAAATCAGATCTACAAAGTAAATTTATCATCTAAACTAGTACATAAAATGATGTATAGCTAAAAGCAGAAGAATTTGTTTTTATGTTCATAAACTTGGTCCAGACCCAGAATTTGTACAGCTAGTTTTGTATCACTTTTAAGGTTTTCTGAAGTAAAAGCAGAGCAGCTGCTAATTTGCCATATATCAAACCAGTTCTTAAAACATTTCAAAATGGCCACCTACTCCTGCTCCAGATTTTTTTTTAAATTATAAGTCTTGTTGGAAATTGAGTGAATTGCCAAATTGCATTAGGAATTATAATTATACTTTCTTCACCATTTTAAGGAGCACTCCTTCTATATACAAGATCATCATAATGTCTAGCTAGAATTTTACCTCAGTTTCCCATGAAACTCTTTTTCCCTCGCAGTCCCCCTCAGCACAAACCATCACATTCTGTTGATTTCTCTGACAGTCAGAAGTCTTTGAGTACTGGCAGAGAGTGATTGGAAAACCAGCTTATGTCTGCCATGTTCCAAAAGTAGATAATTCAAATCCAAATGCTGAGCACAGCAAGTCTGATAGCGAAACAGCATTGTCTTAAAACTAATTGAAAAGGTGAAGGTTGGAGAAGCATATTGCTTTGAAATAAATTAATACCAATTCAACATATATTACAAAGATTTGTTAAAAGTATTTCCTAACATAAAATCTTAATAAGCAAAGGAAACATTAATTAAAAATACCTTTCACATGTCCTAAGGCTTTGGATAAGAATATAAGACATATAGCCATGTCTAGGGGGGCATTAAATGCTCGTATTTTCTTAGTAAAACACAGGCAGTTGATACTAAGCCCTTGATTCATGTGTATAAATTCTTTTGCAGCCCAAAAAGAAATTTGGAACATTTTGATGCATAAGAAGAGTCAGTACATATAAGAGCTGTGCAAAATTATAGAATGTTATGTGTGCAAGTAATGTGTGAATGTGTCTACAAGTGTTCAGGTGTTTTTTGTTTGTTTGTTTTTACAATCTTATTCACACTTTTTGTTTGTTTGTTTGTTTGTTTTTACAATCCTATTCACACTTTTTCATTTAGGTGAAGAGCTGGCAATGCTGGAAGATATGAGTTTGGGGATAATGGACTTGAGGAATGTAACGTTTAAAGTAACTCAGGCCACGTCGAATGCCTCTACTGACATGCTGCCAGTCATAACCGGAAATCGGTAAAAACAAAAGGGGAAGGAACAGGGAAGAGACGTTGTGAAAGTAAATCCTGAGAAATATAGCATGGAATGATGCATGTCCTGTACCAGGACAAGGTTCTGAATCTGTTTTTTTGTAGATCCTAAGCCAGTAGAAAAATGGCCCAAATTCCAAATTCCTTTATTTTTAGCATATGTATTAATATCTTTGAGGTGAATTTTCAAGAAAAAATAGTTTAATCAAATTTAAGTGGGGTTGGGTAATATATAGCCCAGCAAATTAGGTAGAGGTGGAGTTGGGGGTTCAGTTCCTCACTGTGGCTCCCAGGAAAAGAACCAGCCTCTATAGCCTTGGGCAAGCTGTCCAGTCCTAGGGTATTTAATTCACTGAAACTATATATTTTTTCACCTGAGAAGTCCATGTTGATGGGACCAATCTTTTACTGAGAAGACTCATGTCCCAAGCTTTGATAAAGAAAGTGAAACGGGGTATTCATGCAAGCAGCTTGGTTAGCTGGGACTATCTAAAGTTTCAACAAAGGAACTGAAGCCATTTCCCAAGGAAATTATGTTACAAAGGGAAGTGTAAGACTTAAAATCTTGATTGGAGTCTTCTGAAGCGTAAGAATTAGATCATACAAGCTGGACATGTTTGAGCAAGATCTCTTGGCTTCCTATTGGATTTGATATTTGCATTGAATGTGCTCTGTATTGACAGATGTTTTGTCAAGATGTGATAGGGTAATTTAAGACCATATAGTTACCGTGAATAATTCATGTTTAGTCAGTCTACATGGGTTTGGTGTTTTTTGGTCACCTGGCTAAGCACCATGTTTCTCTTGCTTTGGATGGATACAATCCTAGAGTGTGACAAAGATAGACTACTGAGTGTACATAGAAAATCCTGGAAAGGGTCAGTTGGAATCATATTGACAGCATGTGATTATTAACATATGCAAGATGGAGATGAGTGGTCTTTCTTCAATACAGTATTATTTTGACAGAAAAGGTGCAGTTCTTCATATGTAAGATGGAGATGAGTGGTCTTTCTTCAATATTATTTTGACAGAAAAGGTGCAATTCTTCATATAGAAGCACAGGATGTTGCCACGTGGCTTTTCTAAGAGAAAATGAGTTGGTAATTTCCTGCCCCAGAACTTAATTTCACTGTTTCAGTTTTCGCAGGAAACATTGCCTTCGGGATCCATCCTCTTCCTTCCTTCATAACATTGCAAATTAAAAACATTTCCTTTCTACGCATTCCCTGAGAGGGGAATACGCTAGTCCCCTTTCCAATGACTAATATTGGTGGGGGGGAGAAGCATGAGGAAGGGGATGGCGGTAGGATTGTGGTGGCAACCTGTTAAAGTATAAATCCAGTGTATTTATCATTAGGTGGAGTCTCTATCCTTAGGTGGAATATAGCATCCACCTCAGGAGATTTTGCTTCCCTCCATAGTGAAGACATACTGTTTCAGGACAGAAATTGGCACAGCTTCCTGTTTTTTGATGTGAAGAGCTTGATATAAACTTTCAACAGAAAGCTTTTTGTTGAGACTAGATATGGGAACTAGACTTTGGACTTTGAATTCAGTACGATCTTGTCAAAGCAGTGAGATAATGACACCACCTGCAGGACACACTGACATTTTCCGTCATTAAATTAATCTAGCTGTTCTAGAAACTTGCGAGAGATGAACATATTAGCAAACCATATGAAGCAAAGAACCTTGGCTTAAGAAGACAGGATATTCATGAACAGTGTGGCAAGCGCATGCATCCCATTTGCTTCTGCTTTGCTTTAACGAGTAAACAAGCCAGAAGGGACAGTTTCCCTTTATGTCCAAATCTGGGATTTTGGTACAGCCCCCCAAAATGACAGGATCATCAGACAGCTTTAAACAATGGTATCATGAGATTACGATACCTGAGTTTGGCTGGAGCATGAAGCTATACTTTCCTGCTTTGTTCATCTGCTCACACAAAGAAAGGAGAAGAACAGGAGGAAATAGGCAGGGTGCACCAGCAGTCTCCATCTACAGATCACTTCTTTATTAAGCCAGAATTTGTGGTTTGACATGTGTGAATCAGGTCTTTAGTCCACATTTCCACTTCTTTCCAGACTGCATCAAGCACTTGCTTTAAAAGATGGTAACTAACAGCTTTGAGTTTAATTGATAACGTTGGTAACTTCCTGAACAGTCAAAAGTTTCTCCCCGTTAACCTAATTTTTTCTTTTTTTTAAAAAAAAAAAGTGCTTTAAAAGATGGTAACTAACAGCTTTGAGTTTAATTGATAACGTTGGTAACTTCCTGAACAGTCAAAAGTTTCTCCCCATTAACATATTTTTTTTTTAAAAAAAGCCTTTCTCATCTATTGCTTGTTTGACTTTATTTTTTCTGTTTCAAATTAGTGATGGGTTTAATGTGAGAATTCCATTGCCAAGTACCTTGTTCGATGCATTGCCCCGTGAGATTCAGAGTGGCATGTTGCTGAGAGTTCAGCCTGTTCTCTTCAACGTGGGGATCAATGAACAACAAACCTTAGCAGAGAAGTAAGTATATGTATACATCTCTCTCTCTCTCTTTGTTGTGCATATGGCTGAGAACCATCACTCTTCATCAGTGTGTGGAAACCATACCTTTTTGGTTTGCATCTTCCATAATGATCCAGCTGAAGATTTCTGGGATATGTAGTCCATTAAAATAGCCTTTCTGGGCTCTGTTTCCCATATCTTTATAGATCTGAAGGAATGTTTGAGCTGTATCTTATTTTTGTTGTTCTTTAGTAGTTAAGTCGTGCCCGACTCTTTGTGACCTCATGGACCAGAGCATGCCAGGCCCTCCTGTCTTCCACTGCCTCCCAGAGTTTGGTCAAATTCATGTTGGCAGCTTCGGTGACATTGTCCAGCCATCTCATCCTGTCGAACCCTTCTCCTCTTGCCTTCACACTTTCCCAGCATCAGGGTCTTTTCCAATCTTATTTTAAAGGGGAAAATTTTTTAAAAAGAGAAGGGAAGAAACAACAGACAAAATATAGTCACTGAAATATTTAAGGTTTTGCTCTTTCTCTCTTTTTCTCTGTCCCTCGTCCTCCTTTCTCTCTCTCTCCCCACCATGTTCCCCTTTTAACTTTGTCAGAATGTTGAAAACAGACTACATGGCTGTCTATTTGGACCATTCTTAAAAGATTCCTTTTATTTTGTTTTGTTTTTAAGATTTGGAGATACCTCATTACAAGAAATGATTAACATGGAAAGCTTAGTACGCTTGAATTCCTATTTTGAACAGTTCAAAGAAGTTTTGCCCGAAGACTGTAAGTGTCAAATGCTCATATCTAATATAGTTAGATTTCAATTTGACTATTTTTATTTAGTGAATTTGCACAAATGGTGAAAATTCAACAGCTGGTTTCATTCAGGTGCATTGAGAGTGTTCTCTGATTTCAATAAATGTTTTTCAGCAAGACAGGGTAACATCAAAAGACCTTGCTACCTATGGAATAATGATTTTTCTGCTGATCTGAAGCAGATTTCCATTTAAATGTTGGATATCATCTGAAATTATTAAATTAAAATATGAGTTGTAATTCTGTGTTCTTATAATTTGGTTTAGTTGAAAAAACTGGCAGTGTGCTGGATCAAATTGAATCTATCAGCAGTATACCAGTGGCCAGAATCCTGTTAGCAATGTCCAAATTGCATAAGTTGTGGAGCCAACTTGCTATTTCATACCATGCAATTTTGGGCAATTTTTCTAGTCTATACATTCCCAAGGTTGCCAAAGGCAGAAATTCGGCCTCTACACATGCTAAAGTTGCCCACTACAGCTCTAATTTGAATGATGTCTTAGAGATTAATTACATTAACAGTAATCAATGTTGAGATGGGTGCCTGCTAGTAGTAAAAAAGCAAGATGGATGTTTCTAAACCTGACATATTGTTGTTCTCATACATAAAATGCTCTTACTGTATTCTATCTTCCCGTCTCTCTATTTCTTTTAAGGTCTACCTCGCTCCCGTAGTCAAACGTGCCTGCCTGAACTGCTGCGGTTCCTTGGACAGAATGTACATGCAAGGAAAAATAAGAATGTTGATATTCTTTGGCAAGCTGCTGAGGTATTTATGATGGTTCCCTCTTTCAGTCAACCATTTTTGCAGAACCAACCTCAAGCTGCACTATTCACCAGATTGTCAAGACTTGCCCCTTGTGAAAAGCCAATCTTGTGTGAGCATGCAGGATATTGGACAACTGCTGCCACATGGTGTGTTCCTTGGGCTAGGGATGCCTGGGAGCGCTGAGGCCGTCAGAGCTGTTTCTCTTCCTTGTCTCTGTTCTGAAAGTCTGGAAAGAACAGTTGACCACGGGGCTGGAATTTGACTTGGCAGGGACCCTCCTAGGAGAAATGCAACAGTGCCTTGGTCATGTGTCTTCTCTGTGTTGCCAACCAAGTTGTGGATGTGGCCCTAGAAGAAGGGAATGCATTTGGTGCCGTGATAATTGATGACAGAAAGTGGAAACACAAAGTGCATTGTGGGTTCCAGAGGTTGGAAAATGACGGTTTAAAAGTAATGAGCTACTATTACAGGTCTAAGATATAATTTGAGATTTTTGAAGTAGCATTTTATTTACCTGTTTAAGAAAAGTAATGAAGAGAGATCTCTGATTTTTTTTCAAGCCCCAGTCAAATGCTCCAGGCTGCTGGCCAGCAGTACAAAATGTGCTCTTCCCCCGTTCTTTAATTGATACAGCAATGCCTGCAGTAAAGCAAAGCAAAGTGTGCTGCTTATATACCGCCCCATAGCTCTTCAAGCACTCTCTGGGCGGTTTACAAGCAGGCTACACATTGCCCCCCCCCCCAGCGAGCTGGATACTCATTTTATGGACCTTGGAAGGATAGAAGGCTGAGTCAACCTTGAGCCGGCTACCTGGGATTGAACCCCAGGTTGTGAGCACAGTTTTGGCTGCAGTACAACGGGACGTGGTGGTGCTGTGGGCTAAACCACAGAAGCCTTAGCTGCAGGGTTAGAATACCAGCAGTTGTAAGATCGAACCCACGTGATGGAGTGAGCTCCCGTCGGTTGTCCCAGCTCCCACCAACCTAGCAGTTCGAAAGCATGTAAATGCAAGTAGATCAATAGGGACCACCTTGGTGGGAAGGTAACAGCGTTCCTGTCTAAGTCGCACTTGCCATGTGACCACGGAAGATTGTCTTCGGACAAAACGCTGACTCTGTGGCCTGGAAACGGGGATCAGCACCGCCCCCTAGAGTCGAACACGACTGGACAAAAATTGTCAAGGAGAACCTTTACCTTTACAGCAGTTTAACCACTGCGCCACGAGGCTCATATAGTAGAGAATGAGGCAGCCACATAAACCAGCACTTGAATCATGGGACGTTCTTTCTCCATTATTTAATGGGGCTACATCTCTAGAACTATGAAAATAACTGATAGGTACTGTTACCCTGCAGAAGAAGAGTGAATTTCTCCCTCACTGAGTTAGAGTCATACTGTAATGTCCTTGTACGTATTTAATTGGGGGAAAGGAATGCATTACAAGTAATTAGTAATTAGTAGTCCATAGTTATAACTTCTGTTACCCTGGCTAGATCTTGGCCTTGGTTGTGGAGGAATGGAACCATGAAGAAGCCCACTGCAGGGGACGCAAGAGTTTCCTGGTTGCTTCTTTGGAGGATGGGAAGGTTTACAGCTCTGCTCCCTCCACTGGGCTTGAGAAGAGCCCCCCCCCCTCTCCATTTCTTTCCTTCCATTATCATGGCTTTTGGCAGGGCAGACTGTCTGGTGTGCCAAGGGACACTGTTCCCTGAGCAGTGTGTGATGACAGTGGAGGAGAGAGAGAATGACCCCAGGTGAACTGACCAGTTGTGGGCGGCCTCTCATCCCTGAAAAATTCGTTTCTAACACTGGGATGTTGATCAGTGCCACTCCATGTCTTCCCCGTTGACATTTCTGAAAAACCTACAGTATGTGAGATAAGAAATTTCTTTCTCAATTCCTCATTAATCTTGCAAATGGACATTAATTATAATTCAGACCTTAGTCCTCCGCCCTCACCTCATTTCTAATGCCTATAAGGCCATTTCCTTCATAGTTCTGTTGTTGGCTCTTTTCTTTTCTTCCTGTTTTACCAAGAGACTAACCAATAGCTTCCCTCCTTAGATTTGCCGCAGACTAAATGGTGTTCGGTTTACAAGCTGTAAAAGTGCCAAGGATAGGACTGCCATGTCAGTGACTCTGGAGCAGTGTCTGATATTGCAGCATGAACACGGAATGGCTCCACAGGTCTTCACACAAGCCCTAGAGTGCATGAGGAGGTAAGGCTCGGTCTGCTCACTGGCCACTTGTTTCTAACCCTGGAGCCATGTAAACTGCAGATGGATGGGGATAGTTATGTAACAAATATAACTATCAAGGAACATGAAAGATATAGACTGTGACTGCCTGGCATGCCTTTTTTCCACATTTTTTACACATTTGTGTAAGGAAAATGTAGTGGTTTTTTAAAACAGTTCTTCAAAAGAAGAAAACTTTTTTTTCGTTCTCAACACTTCGGTGGTAAATAACTGAGGTGCAAATAAAAGAATGGAAGAGCACGCCATCTTTGCTGCTCTGCCAGTTTGAGGGTTTTGAAACCGTGTCAGAACTTTGCTCGCTGTTCTTCTTGGTTCCTTAGAGATGATCAGCATTAATTAGACACTCTGTGAAGGATACGCATCTGCAGGTTGCATTGGTTGGCTATGCTTCCTCAGGCAACAGAGTTTGCTCCTTCAGCAAATTGTCATTTCGAATGTTTCATGATGCAGCAATCTCAAGTCCATCACAACCTGTCAGTGTCCTCATACCTGTTATCTGAAGCAGTAGACCTGTTTGCAAAATTCAGCTGTTTTTCTTTCTTTTAAAATATTAGGAATTTGTGTACTGTTGTTCAATGCATTGTTTCAAGCACTGCTGGAAAGCTACAATTTTGCACACCTAAAGAAAAAGAAAGGATAAGAAAACTAGTTTTTGTTGTTTTTTTTATTGACGTAATTTAACACTACTCTGGAGTCCTGTTTTTAACATTCACTCTTGCTGAATGTGCTGTACTGTGTGTCTTCTCACCAAATTTTCAAAAGTGTTGAATTATCTTATCCTTTCTGTATGTTTTTGCTATTTGACCCTTTCTAAATCTTCAATGTTGTAAATGTTGTATATCCTTTTTAAATAGTGTCTTTACCTCAGCAGAAGTTGCTTTCTAAATACTCCCTAAGATCTTGTATGTGAACCACAGAATTCCATAAAATGGAACTGACCTGCAGTATTACACCAGGTGCCTTATGAAAAATAACTTGTATCTAAATATGAATGATAAAACCGGTTAATATAAACCCATTTATTTTAAAAGTATTCTGTCATTTTCCTTCTGATGATACGTGTTACATTTTTAATGAAAGTAGATCCAAGCTGGTAAAACTTTAATCACTTAATTAAAGATCAGTTGAGTTCGCTGGTTGTTGTGGGTTTTTCGGGCTCCTTGGCCGTGTTCTGAAGGTTGTTCTTCCTAACATTTTGCTGGTTTCTGTGGCCAGCATCTTCAGAGGACAGGAGTCACAGAGACTGGGGAAATGTTAGGAAGAACAACCTTCAGAACACGGCCAAGGAGCCTGAAAAACCCACAACAACCATCAGATCCCAGCCGTGAAAGCCTTCAAGAATCAGTTGAGTTCACTTGGTATTTTTAGCACAATCTCAGTCTGGAAGAGAAGTGCCTTCTCATGTTTTTCTTTTAAATAAAGACAAAATGAGAAGGAAGGAGAGCAGTAACAGCACTCTAATTTTTTTTTTTTGCTTTAGTTTTTTAATTTGCAGGTAACAAAACTGGAACAAAATAAATTCTGTGCTTTGGCATTCTCTTTCTGTCCGGAAGGGTTGAATCCTAACCTAAGCACATAAAAATGGGCTGGCAGAACCAAGCTTTCTCCTTCCCATGTCAGATCCTTCCCAGCCCCCAAACATAAGGGACCCTGCTCTGTGGGTATTCTGGGGAAATGTAATGAGGAGTGTTCTCCCCAAATTTGGCAGAGATGTCTTCTGTGAATGGAGCCCATCCATTCAAAGAAGACAGATCCTGTATCAAAGCCATACGAATTCAATAAAATAGGAGCCTTTATTTTCATGGGCTTGGATCTAAAGGGAGTCCTACAGTAGCCAAAAGTAACTTCCCGTGTACTGTTTTCATTAATTGTTCTTAGTAAATTTATATTTAAACAATAGCTAGTTGATAGTTTGAACTATGTGGAAGCACAATTAACCAGTGTTACTTGAAATGACCTTTGAAAAGTAGTCAGAATGTTTCCTTTTTTTTCCTGAGAGGTGTATATAAAGGTAAAGGTTCCCCTTGGCAATTTTTGTCCAGTCGTGTTTGACTCTAGGAGGCGGTGCTCATCCCCATTTCCAAGCCATAGAGCCAGCGTTTGTCTGAAGACAATCTTTCTGTGGTCACATGGCCAGTGCGACTTAGACACGGAACGCTGTTACCTTCCCACCGAAGTGGTCCCTATTTATCTACTTGCATTTGGATGCTTTTGAACCGCTAGGTTGGCGGGAGCTGGGACAAGCGACGGGAGCTCACTCCATCGTGTGGATTCGATCTTACGACTGCTGGTCTTCTGACCCTGCAGCACAGGCTTCTGCGGTTTAGCCCGCAGCGCCACCACGTCCCTTTTGAGAGGTGTATATTTCTGTACAAATACTTCAAACCAATGCTCCCTTTTTTTTTTGCATATGATGGGAAACTTTCAGAACTCCAGGAGCTGCAAGCACCCACCTCTGCACTTTGGAGGGCTACACCAACAACAGTTCCTTTTAAAAGGGTGTGGTTTTTAAGTCAAAACAAGTCATCTCTTGCCTTCTTTTATTAATTTGTTTAGAAATGGGATGGGGGAGGGGAGGGGGAAGCCATAAAGCAGGTACGTGATGTGCTGTTGGAATAATTTTCATATGAATCAATGAGTTGGTTACATTAGATGCTAACATAACTTCTCCCTGGGTGGCAAGCTTACATGTCTACTTCCTACAGATATCATATCTGGATTAAGGCAGATAATCCCCTTTTGCAAGGGCAGCAATTACACTACTAAATTAACAGCAATAACAGCTCTTGTGAAAAATGTATTGCAATATTATTAGGAAATTCTATCCCAAATTCTAAGTACATGGAATGGTAGTGGCAGCAGCTGCGAAAGAGAACCATGATGATTCATTTTATGCAGCACTTTTTAATAAAATATTCTAAAAGATTCAAGACAATATACAGTGTATATAAAAGTTAAGAACAAGGATAGGGTAAACAATACTTGAACGTACTTAAAGTTATTTCCCAGTATACAATGCAATCCAGAGTCCAGCTTCCCATTCTAGTCCACTTAGGGGGACTTAAAATGTTGAAAAATTGCTTCCCACACTCCCTAAAGGGTACAAGGGGAATTTGTCCATTAATTTTCCAAAAAATATATTACTCAATATAGTGGGGTAGGGATATAACCAGTGAGGGTATAACTGTAGGAAACCTACATACATTTAAAACCCTATTAGGTTGCCATCAGTTAGGTGCAACTTAACAGGACATAATAACAGGGAGAGAGGGGGCCCATATTATTGAGGAACAGAAGCTGGGCCCTTGGGAGCGAGCTATCGATCTATCGATCTATCAATCTATCTATTAGATTTCTTTCCCACCCCCCTAGACAGCGTCTACTTGGGGTGACTTACAAATATCATAAAATATCATTAAAAATCATAAAAACATCATAACATTAAACAGTTGAAGCAATAATATGGTGTATTCAAGATGGGGAATGATAGAAAACAAGAAGATAGAATTCATGAATTGACAGGAGGGAAGGCCTGCCCGAAGAGCCAAGTCTTTAAATGGCTACCTACAACCCATGAACTAACCTTGTCCACATCTGCTGTCGATTATTGTACATATAAAAGCCACAAGTGGTACCATTCCTTCGGGATCTTGAAAGTGTCAAATAAGGCAGTAAGGCCAGAACTAACCTGTTTTGAGGCTAAGTAATTTTAAGCTCCTGCATTTGGTAGCTAGCATATTCAAATAAAGTCAGTACAATGTGCATTGAAGAATTATTGAAAGGGTCAAATGCTACAATGGTTATTCATGTTCAGTTTTGCTTTTCAGAGCTCCATATATTTTTTTGCAGCATGTGGAAGCATGGCAGAGCAGCACGGACCATTGCTTGGCCAAATAAGAAAATGAACATGGAAAACCATTCTTATTCAACCTACATGTATTTCTTTTCAGTAGATTACAGTATTCTTTCTTATTTTCTCTTTTATTCTCTTTCTCTCTCCTTTATTCTGTAATTGTGCCTTTTATTATTATTATTATTATTTAAAAATTGGCACATCTCCCTCTTTTTTTTTTTTAACCTAACACGTTCTTCTTTCTGTTGTGGCTTTTTCAAACGTTTCTTTTCCTCTTCTTGATTTGACTTTCCTTTATTTTGCCACCTTGTTCCTGCCTTTTCTTCTGTTTTTTGATACATCCGTTGCATGTCTGTGTTTCTTTTTTCCCCCCATTTTTTCCTTTCTCCCCAAACTTCTTCCTTTTCACAGTATTGGAACACGGGAGGTAGTCACCCAGAAGAACTTGTGTGGCCTGGTGCCCATCCGGGATTTCAGGCTAGACCCCAGTCTACTCTACTCTATTCCTTTACTAGCATTGAGCCCCAATTTACTGATTGTGTGGCTATTTCTGAGCATTGCATACTTGGTGGCCAGATTACGTTGCAAGTGAAGACAAGCTTATAAAGCTAAAATCCAATGAAGTGCCAGAAATATTTATTGCCACCTGGTACCTCTTGGTCAAAGGAATGTCTCATAGCATCGTCTGCCAAGAATTATGATTATTATTATGCCTTACTATTTTGTGTTTCTATTGTACTAAACTTGTAAATACACATCAGATTATTTTATGAAAAGGAATTGTATTGAACGCTTAAAACTGTTGTTACGCTTTCAGTGCTTGTAACATAGTCGGACAGCGGCCTGCTAGCCGAGCAGCAGATTTATTACTCTCACCAAATATCTTTCAGCCATCCAAATCTTGAGTTTCTTTCTTTCTCTCTCTCTCTTTCTAGAGACATACAGTTTTGTTTCACATGTTTCATGTATTCCAGAGAAAGGAGCTCTGTCTAAAAAGAATTTGTATCTTTTTTGTATATTCTTAAAAATGTGTCTATCTTGCCTTTCATATTTACATGATACACAAACAGAAAAAGTGGGAGTTTGTAACACATTGATCTGAACAAATTTACTTACGCACCTTTTAACTTTAATTTTGAAGCATTACATTAATATTGCTTAAATGCAATAATTAGAGCTTAAAACCATGTATGTGTTCCTTTCTCATAGTTAAATCTGTTCTTACATATTATATTAACTTTAACAAATGAACTAACTTGAACAGCAGTATACTGCATGCAATATAGTTTCAGTATATTTATATATCTACTTTTTTATTGTATCGAAAAGGAAGAGTGTGCAGAAAGAGTAGCTTACTAATCACCTGTGATTCCATTTAAATCTTCTTTGGAAGAATTATTTTTATATTCTGTGTGTTGCTGCCATGTCTTAATTAATATTGATGTTAGATATTGCCATAAAAGATGCACTAAGCTCACTGTTAAACTTTAAATCTTTAAATGTTTGATAGATGCCAACTACATCAGTGACTATTCCCGGGGAAATTATTCTAAAATTTCAATGAGCAACAGAAAAGTAGCACTCAGTTTCCACTATTTTTAATTTTATTTACTGAAATGTGCACATATGTGCATTCAGACAGTATTTATAATTTTAACACATATTTAGATAAAGTCATTTAAATTTATTAAAAAGCAGTGACAAGGCACATAGGAAAAAAATCTCAATTTTCTGCTTTTTTGGGCTATAGGTTTTTTTACACTAATACACTGCTCAATTAATTTTGACTGCTGGCATAAAAACTGATGCAGTCTATTGCTACTTATGGAGTGATTTCTGTGTTACCAAAATGGCATAGAAGCGACTTCCCTAATAGCTACATGCCCAAATAATATTTGTACGGAGCAGCGAGGTGATGCTCGCATTGCTCCTCTCTGAATGGCAAATTTCTTCCGTACTTCCTACTGAGAGCACTGTATCTGAATTAAGGCATTTGCAGGGGCAGCAGTTAGACACACCAAAATTCATGGCAGCAGCATATCTTGAGATAAATGTATTACAATGTTATTGTAAGGTTTTACCAAAATCTAATCATACAGAATGGTCATGATGGCTGCCGGCGAGGGGCACAATTGACCCTTTGATGTGAAGCATATTTTTTAAAAGATTCAAGTCTATCTGCAATATTAAATTATGCAAAAGATAAAAGCAAGGACGAGCTAAACAATACATTTCTAACATTATCAAGGTTACCTCCCCATAATGCAGTGCTATCCAGAGCCCACCTTCCTGTTCATGTCGAGCAGGAGCACATCCCCAAGGCATGGGAAGTCTCTCCATTATATTCATTGAGCCTGATCTCTAAAACAGAAACAAGGAACACACAGGGCTCTGGATCACATATATTGCTTAAAGTAATATGTACAGTACATAGGAGGAGCTGATCCCAGTTTTTTAAATAGCTACTTGTCTGCAATTTCTCATTGACTGCAGCAGATGAACATATCCTGATCATCAATTGGAGTAGCTGTTAATAATGTGCCTTTAAATGATTAAAGCAGACAGATAGACTAGTCCATTGTTGGACCTTTTTAGCAAAATGTGGCTAACCTGTCCTCTTTTTCTTGGATATGGGACATAATGGTGGTGGCTCCTTCTTACGCAGAGCTTTGTGTATTCATTCGAGCCCAGAAGAAATTAGGATTGCAGCCAATAAGCTCATCCTGGCATATAAAGTCTGTTGGGTGTGCTAAATCAAAAAATACACATATACCTTTTCACTGTAAAGCTGCTAAATGAAGTTTATCCACAGACATAAAACACTTTGCTTTGATATATCTTTGTACTTCGACATGTACAAAAGGACACTGAGTGGTATCAACTGTAAATACTTGAAAGTTTCAATACAGTGCTTTGGAGGAAGGGCAAATAACATCTCTCACCCATGAAGTGAATCTACAGAAAGATGTATATGTTGGAATACCAACAAAGTTAATGATGCCATTTAGTCCCTGTTGAGTATAAAGATCATCCGCAAAAGAAATCCTGTTAAATTTCCATAAGAGAGTTAAATGTCCGCTTAACGCTGCCTTGAGATACACATAATTTTTTTACAGATATGGTGTATCTGAATCTTGCCTTCTGCTGATAACAGCATAAATTATTATAAATCAATGCCCATTTACAAAGCACTTTGGAAACAAAGCTACTAGAGTACAGTTTAACAAGGAGCATGTTAAATGTTGCTGTCCTTAGTTGTTATAATGTGAATAAATTGTCTCTCAGCCATACATGTTTGTGTACTCTTGTCTTACACTTGTGTTCCAGCATGAAGCCACTTTCATTTTTCTTTGTTTTCTTCTGTGTTCAAAGGAGCCAAAGAAAGAAAATGGGAAAAAATCTATTTTGATGGTCTTAAGTAAATTCATGTGTAGCTAAATGGTGTGCTTCCTTATACAGTTGGTTTTGAAAGCTGTCTGTTTTCGTAGCACCTAATGGCCTTTGCAGTAGATTTCAGGATTATATTTTAAAAGTGCAATACTGTTTGGAAGCAGGCCCTAAATGTTAAGGTAGCCTCTGTTGTAGCATTGCCTTTATACAGAGTTGGGAATTGTTACCAGGAAGTCGTGTTCCTCACCACCCCACTGCAGTTGTTATCCTGCCAGTCTTAGCCTATGACTAAAGGAGCAGGCCAGTATGGTTATTCACCCTTTTCCTGGCTCTCCTCCAATTTCTCACTGAAATTTCCCCTTCCTTCCCCTTTAAAAGGTGTTTCTGTATAACAGCATTGACTCCGATTCACATAATAACTAAGTTTTGAAGCTAGTTTACATCCTTTGGTTAAGCAAAAACCTGTTGAGCCGTGGTTAGCATGACTCGAGCCATGAAGGAAAGGAAGAGAATTTTTGGATGAAAGAGGGAAGGAGATAGGAGTATATAAGCCATAACCCACTCTCTGTTTTCTAATTTAGACAACTAAAAGCATTATACCTTCATAGGTGAATATGAAGAAACCTAAGCTTTCTAGGGCGTGATTGATGGCTATAGCTTCAAAGGTATTTTTCAAGTAACCAAATAGAGTCCAAGTTTCAGGAACTCTGATTTTGTTAATTGAATTTGAGTTACTTCATTTTGTTGTTATTGAAAAGCATTTACTTAGAAAGAATAGTGTTTTCTTTCAGCATTAATAATGCATTTCTGAGCAATTTGTGCCATGAAATACTAGAGGACATCGCTGTGATAAAGGTTTCTTAAAATTAGGTTCGCCGTTGCTTTTCAAGAGTTGCAAAACTAAAAACATAGCATGCTTTTATTTCATGTGCATCCTTGTTTAGTGATCCATTGCTTTCAATAACTGCAGTGGCGAATTATTGAAGCGCTCATTCAAGTATTTGAATGCAACAAAATAGCCAGCTAAATGTCATGGTAGTTAAAATGTTTGGGCTTTCTGTTTCTGTTTCTGTTTTCTTTCATTTTTTGGTTTTACTGCTGTCATTTTTTTGTGCTTGTCTTTTTTTTTTCCCCAGTGAGGGTTGTCGACGAGAAAATACAATGAAGAATGTTGGATGTCGCAAGTATGCGTTTAATTCCCTGCAGCTGAAGGCTTTCCCCAAGTTTTACAGGCCTCCTGAAGGAACTTATGGAAAAGTTGAATCATAAGATTACCATGTTTTGTAATTAGCTGTTCTGTTAAAATACGTGAATACACTTGACTTTAGTATATGGACTTGGACAACAATGTCAGAAACAATTTTTGTATGTTTCACTAGGTAATGCTGAGCATGTAATTTTGTTAAATTGGATTCCATAGGAGGAAATATTCTTTGTTGATCCTTGTAATAATGTGATGACTGCATATGTAACTAGCCATCCGTGTATGTAAAATGCCCGAATATATTATACCACCAGTTTCTTACCTTTATGCCTAAAAAAGAAAGATAACTCACTCATTGACTGCTGAGGATTTATGAATGATATTTCGGCAGCTGCTTCAGTCATTTTTTTTAATATGGATTTGATTTGAAATCAAGACTTTCATAATACTTTTTAAAACATCAGGACTGTAAATAGTAAATAAATTGGATATAAGGCATTACAAGAGGATGAGGAAGTAACACTCAAATTGGAAGATCAGAGCAGCACATAAAATATGATGCCAAGAGCCTAACTTATTTTACTGGGATTTGTCATATACACAAGGCCAGGAACTGACATAAGGCCAAGTTCTACTTGCTTCAGAGACTGGATTGGACCCACAATCCTTTTTGTTGACTTTAAATATGTATTTATGTTTCACACCTTTTGTTGTCTTGTGCTAAGAAGCAGAGGTCTGAATGCTAAGTGGCATGGGCACTACAGGATCAGCACTGTGCTCCAGTTTCTTCCCAACCCCACAAGTCCTTGGAGCTCCCCAGAAATCAGCTCTGAAATGTTTTCCAGCTCTCCAGAGTAGGCTTTAGTGTCAACGCAGGGCTCTGTAGTTGAGATGAGATTCCCTCTATTCCACTTTTGCTGGAGTCAAGAGAAGCTTAGTGTTGGATTCTGCTGAATACTTGCACAGCCCAAGCAAGGGCTAGCTGAACGTGACAAAACACTCCATGTGACTAGTAACACATGAGAGCTCAGATGGCACTTTAGTTATGTACTTTTATCTGTATTACTAATCAGATTAGGCCTGCATTCTTATCTTTACTTTGAAATGCCAATGAGGATTGCCTAGGCACAGTCACCTGCATATCTACATCATGGTATCTTTCTAATTAGGGATGGGCACGAACCGCCAGTTTGGTGGACGGCTGAATCGGTGTTCTGCAGTTCAATGCCCCAACTTCTCCCACAGATGCCTACTCGGAAGCGGTGTCCTGGCTTCCCTGCCTCTCCTCCTCCAGGCACTCCCTCTGAGTGGGCACCCACTGGTTCAGCCATCCACCAAACTGGCACAAACTGCCCAAATCATCTTCATTTCAAATCCCTGTCTGTTTGTGTCACCTGTGTGTATTGGTCACTTTATTGCACACTGGTGTTCAGCGCAAGCTAATGTATGCAAAAAGTAGTTCCTCTGTTTTCATGATGAATAGAATTTTATTCAGTGTTTTGTGCACAACATTTACCATTCCATCTGTACCAGGCATCTTCCAAGTACCTAAGATGCTTACTGGATTAACATCCTGGTTTTCTGTAGAATGTATGTGTTTTAGTCTCCAGAATAAGTCTTTTTAAAATTTTTCTGTTCTTTCCCCCACTTCAAGCATTTTCGATTAAACTGAATATTATTAAATACAAAAGACAGGACTTTTAGAATATTTATGCAAAAACCAAATGTTTTGAAATCAATTTCTTCAAATTACAGTATTAATCAATGATTTTCTGTCATTTCACACTAGTTGAGAGGTTGATTGTTTTGCCCCATAGTCAGCCTTCATTTTCTCACATGGCATGGAGCAGGAAACTGAAAAAATAGTTGATGAACAGTAGCACTGTTTCTTATGATTCATCTAAATCCTAAAACCCAATGCATTCAATTTGTGATTAATATTTAAATGTGGTGGTTTTAGTACATTGGCCCAATATGAATAGAACACTTAATTGTAATTTAGATTGTGTGAATAAGGTTTTGCACTAACTTATTTTCTCTCTGGAATGGTTTCAAGGAGACAGGAAGCCTCTATTTCCTGTTTTAACGAGCCATGTTTTTTCATTGTTTCTGGAAACAAAAACAGGGGTTAGCTTACACTTTGGTATTTTGAAACAAGCCGGGATCTAATCTCAGCTTGTTTCAACAAGCATCAGTTTAAATTGACTGTAGAGTTCCCTGTATTAATGTTATATAAAACTCAAGAGCGTGTTTCCAGTCTCCACCCAAAGAGAAGATGGCAGTGTGTGGCCCTGAGGTGTGCTCCTGCTCCTACTGTTCCTGCTCTTGCTTATTCATATAATGTTCAGCCATGCGTCCACATTACCTCTGAATTGGGCTATTGACCTCAAATGGGAGATAAACACCATGCAGCAAAGTCAGTCTCTATAGAATGTCATTGGATCATCACAAATTACAGTCCATGAAACCTGTTTACAGGAGATTAATATGCTCTTCACATGACCACGAATACGTGATTTAACAACTCTTTTTTTTTTAAAAAAAGAGACTATTTTGAAGAAAAGTCTTTGAAAGTGTCATATTTGAATACCTAGAGCTGGATTCAACACTGTCACAACATTCATGCAACTCCTGGAACTTCTTCACCTTTAAACTCCACTTCATATCAATGGATTTATTTATAACTGTTCAACGTCATAGGCCTTTGAAGGGCAATGGGAAATGCGGTTTAGTTATTCTCAACAAAGTAAGACTGATATATGTATGCCATTTGCTACCAGAATTACACTCCTTCCTGGTTTTTATAGCCATGCTTTAATTTCTTGAAGGTTTTCAGTGTTTACTTTAACTCCACGTTTGTTTGTTTTTAACCAATTGCTTTTAGGAATTTAATGGTATAACTGCATTGTTACACTTGGCAATTGTGATTTTGTTGAATTAGGTTTTTTAAAAACTTATTGTTACAATGTTTTTATGTAGCCTCAAAGTTACAAATGTTGTAACTTGTTTAATCTCAGAACTCTGTACCAAATACAATTTTCTGGACTGTGTTAAAAACTGAACCGTTGGAAAAGTTCCTGGTATAGCAGATGAGTGACCTTATTTAGTCTTTGCTCACCAAATATAATACTTAAATTTGTAACCCTAAAATTATATGTTTAACTTTTGCTTTTTCATATCTTTCTGGAGGGAAGGGCCAGTGAGTTATTAGACATTATGATGTTTGTTGCAAGCAGGGGTGGACAACTTTGGCAGGTCAAGGGTGAATTTTCCACCCTTGGGACATGCTACAGGCCACACCATTCTCTCCCAACCAAACTGGAAATGACTGAGAAAAGAGGGCAAACCAAATAGAAAGGCCCAACTCACATTTTGTTAAAACAAGACTGGGGGGTAATGATATAATACCCCTTGTTTTAAAAGTATATAGACCTTCCTAAATGCTTTCCAAAATATGAGTCACTCTGCTTTAAGGAGGGATTCCCCCCCCCAGTAGTGGTGGAGAGCTGTAAAAACAGATAGAGACTGCATGCTTTACATGTTGTCCACCCATGATGTAAATGGTTTGATATTAAAATATTTTGCCATTGAATGTACATCACATGTCACTTCCTCCTTGCCCTGTTTCAGCCCACCCTTGCAGACATGGAAGATGGAGGGCTCTACTGCCTACTAGTGTTTCCCTGTTCTTTTAAT